CCATAGGTTACGATAAAAACGAAAATTCACATATATATTTACACAGTTCAAAGTCCGCTTCTTTCTTTTGGTGATGTGGATTCTTTCAACTATTGGGTATAAGCATTCAGAACGAACGTCAGAAAATTCGTGATGTTTCTACAGAATTGATATATTTTTGTCAAAAAGCCATATCTGTCGATTTGAAAATTTTCGACGCTCCCGATATCAATTCTCATTATCTTTTTATCGTAACGCTATTTAGTTAGCATTGTCTTTAGTTTAAAATCAAAACAATTGGTCCATATCTTTGATTATTAATTCGTAGTTCAAAAATATATGCTGGTATATTTGAGTTATGGAGATATTAGTTGAAACGGTGGAAGTATGGGCTTATCAAATTATGCTTCAATTAAAGAGTATTCGGAAATGGTAGACCTGATGCTCCTGACATCTGTTTACACAAGATCCTCTAATATCAGTGCTTACAATGATGATAGAGTAATTTTAGTAGCCATATCACAGGTCTCGGGGATGGCGTCTTTTATTGTTTGGTTGTTGGTCCAAGTACCTCAAATTATTGAAAATCATTTGAACCGATCGGTTCAAGGTCTTTCATTATTTTTCGTGATATTCTGGATATGTGGGGACGTATCTAATTTTGTGGGAAGTGTTTTGAATGGAACTCCCTTTCAGATGTGTATCGGGGTATATCATTGTATCATGGGGTTAGTTTTGGGTGCACAATATTGGTATTATACGAACGTTTATGCACATATGATAAAAATCCCTGACAGACTACAGGAGAGCACAAATGAGAATGCAGGTTTTTATGATTCTAAAGCAGGTACAAGGGCTAATAGATTTGGGCAACGTGGAGGTGAAGACTATAGTAGACTGCAGAACTTACATACTCACAGAAGTGGACGATTTGGTGATAAAGTTTTGAAAACTTCATTAAGTACTAGTGCATTCATACGATCTTCAGATGCTACCCCAATTGCTTTTGATAACAAGAGATCATTAGAAGTTCCATCTACGTCGCTATCTACTCGCAAAGTAATTAGTGAAATTTTATCAGTCATTCGAGTTGCCTTATCATCAAGCTTAGAAAAGATTATTTCTTTCGAAGAGAATTCAATACCAGCATGGATATGCTCATTGTCCTACGTAAGCTCACGTCCGCCTCAAATTATACAAAATTATAGAACAAGATCTACGAATGGCCTTTCACCCTACACATTTCTATTAGCAATGATCGGAAACCTTTTGTATGCAATATCAATTGTTTCTAGTTCATGCATTCTTTTCAAGAAAGATATTGATGCATTTAATTCTATGATGTCTGCAAATATGCCATATGTGGTTAGCAGCATGATAACTTTTTTTTTCGATACCATTTTATTATTACAATGCTTGTACTATGATGATTCGAATAAACCAACTGACTTATTGGATCCGGATTTCCTGTCAAATAGCCTGGTATTTATGCAATATGGAAATGGCAATACTAGCGATATGAATAACCCAACCTACCGTCATTCCAAAACTTGGAAGGAAAACAAAAAAAATAAAATTGTTTATGAGAACGATTCGTCTTTACATTTCCAAACTCCAGCTTGGTATACTAATGATCACTTGGTTACTGGCGTTAATGAGGACCAAGACGAAGAAGAAGATTATTTTATAAGTAACAATAGAAGAAGAAGCCACCGAGGATTATCTAGCCATGACGAAACGACATCATTATTGAATGCCGTTAATTATACGTTGACTACACCACCATCCCATTATATTTCTCGCTCCATTTTAGACAAACGAAACTATGTTTCGTCCCAACAAACCATACCAAATATTGTTGCAAACTCAACGTCAAGAAATGATTCCATTAAAGCAGTCAAATCTGCTGTATCGGTTACCTCACTGAACTCGGTCATGTTTAATGAGCATGGTAGTAATGTTCAGTACAACACATCAATTTTAAACACTTCGCTAATACCATCAATTGTAAGCAACTATTCTTCTATATCTAAGAAGCTTTCCCACGATTCCAAAACCCCATTCCTGCCAAGTGACTTCTTGAGTGACAATTTTTACAATCGATCTGAACTTGCAAGTGTTTCATCAACTAATATGTAACCAAATCATTCAAAACTGTTAATATATTTGTTTAATTCTATTCTAGTTAATTCTATACACTCATTGTCTTGTTAAATCTAAGTCAATAATATATCTACACTACTTTATTTACCCTCCATGCACTATTCGGTAAGCTTTGTAAATATGTAACCTTCTTTTTGACCCAGAATAATATGAAAATACCACAAACAATACAAAAGAAATTTGTATAGTAATATCCATCTCTCAAAAGTACTACTCTTCCACCACCATTCTTACATGTTTCCTTGAGGGTCTCTGAAGTTATATAAAAATCCAAATTTTCGGCAATTGCTGTAGATACTTGGGTTGTTGGTTGACATTTTGCCAAAGTAAATTTATCAATTAGGTATAGAACAATCAATTTAGGCCAAGTACCACCGTAATTAGACAAAGTATTCAAAGTAGTCATGTATGTACCACCTATAGCAGGATCTGCAATTTTTGTATGAAATGCGCATAATGAAACAAATTGAATTGTAGACATGAATGAAGAAATTAAATGCTGCAAAATAATTAAAAGGAAATATCCTGACGAAACTTTACCATTCTCCGGAAAGAAATAGACAATCAATTGTGCTAGCATAGCTCCGAATAACCGGCCAGCAAACCCGAATAACCAAGGCTTCAATGGTGTTTTGCCGTTAGACCAACGTCCAGCATAGTAGCCAAATATCATTTCAAACGGGAAGTCAATTAAGACAGTAATAGACAAATCTTCTTTAGATAAACCTTTCTCTAATAATTTCAAATTAGTTGCAGCCTCGCTAGCTTGGAATCCGAATTTGGCAATAAGCAAGATCACAACAAACGTCTGTACGTTTGGCAACTTTAATACCTGATACATTGAATTATAGACATGCTTCAATGAGGCCCAATTACTAGACATCTTCGAGTTCTTGTTATAAATAGACTCAGCCTTTGCTTTTTCATTAGAAAGCTTGGCCATATTCTGCTTGGCCAAATGTGGAGGGTCCTCTGGAATTAAAAATAAGAGTCCCGTAACAATCAAGTACATCCAGCCCCAGAAATTCAAATACAGGCCCAATGAGAATAATCCTTCGTCTATGGGGACTGTTCTTAAGTATTTATTGGCAAAGTCTGGGGAGCTCAAAGCGAGAAATATCGTAAATGATGAGAAGTATCCGGTATTTATTCCAACTGTCTGGGCAGTTGAGGCGTACGACAAACATTCAGGAGATAAACATGTCAACGCCCATCCATCGACTGCTATATCTTGTGTAGCACAAAAGAATACCAACAAAAAGAAGCACATGGTAATAGTTTTCAAGTGAGTTTCAGGATCCAATACGAGAAAGTCGATTTTCAGACCAAGGTAGATCAAAGTGAGTCCAGATATAGTTTGAATAGGAATGATCCATGACCTTCTTCTCCCAATAGTTGGGTGGTATATGGCATCAACAATAGGTGACCATAATAACTTCAAAGAATACGGATATGCTGCCAATGAAAATATACCGACCTGAGAATACGATAACTTTGATTTCAATATAAAAGGGATAGATCCAAATGCTAATCCTACCGGGACACCCTGTAGTAAATACAATATAATTAAAACAATGAATGCAGGTCTATCAATCTTATTCAAACTTCGGGAAGTATTTTTGGATGATTTAGGTTTTAAGTTGGAATCTTTCAACTCTTGATGTGATATGGGCAATAAACCATCATTCTCCACCTCAAAGCCAGCACGAGGATTGTTGATTTGGTTTTCAGCGAAGCTGGGTTCAGCTGACCCAATTCGTTTATGGACTTGATGGTCTCCTGACATTAATAATTGCTAGCTTAAATCTACTATTTATGTACAGCTGTAGCTTATGTTTTTGATATTCACGCGCGATATGGTTTAGAAATTCCAGAGAGGCTTTTTGAAGCACCATCAAAAGCAGAATTACAGAAGAGTAAGTGAAACATTATATTAATTTATGATACATATCATTGGGAAATATGGAATCTTCCTTGCTCTATTTATGAAAAGGAAAGACGATAATTTTTTTTATATGATGAAGTGAGTTTTAAAAATCTATAAACCTAAAACTTTTCTAGAGGCTCTCATGACAATTTCAACATCTGGGAAAGCAAAGTCTTCTAATTCTTTAGCGTATGGAGTTGGGACTTCACAACCGGTGACTCTTTCAACAGGAGCATCCAAATAGTCGAAGGCTTCGGATTCCATGATTTGGGCACAGATTTCGGAACCAACACCGAAGGCTGGGAAACCGGCTTCACAAGTAACCAAGTGGTTGGTCTTCTTGACGGATTCAATGATGGTGTCAGTGTCCAAAGGTTTGATAGATCTTAAGTTGACAACTTCAGCCTTAACACCGTATTCGCTTTCTAACTTTTCAGCAGCTTGCAAACAGTGCATGACATTTCTGGTGTGGGAAACTAAGGTGATATCGGTACCTTCTCTTTCGATCTTGGCCTTACCAATTGGCAAGACAAAGTCGGAGGATAAGGCTTCTTCGGACATTTCGAATGATTCACCGTACAGCATTTCGTTTTCAAGGAAAACAACTGGATTTGGATCTCTGATAGCAGCCTTGAACAAACCCTTGTAATCTTCAGCAGAGTATGGAGACAAAACCTTCAAACCTGGAATTGAACCGTACCAAGCAGCGTAACATTGAGAGTGTTGGGCACCAACACCAGCAGCAGCACCATTAGGACCACGGAAGGTGATGTTACATGGTTGTTTACCACCAGACATGTAGTAGGTCTTAGCAGCCGAGTTAATGATTTGATCAATCGATTGCATCGCAAAGTTGAAGGTCATGAACTCACAAATTGGCTTCAATCCGGCCAATGCAGATCCGACAGCCAAACCAGTGAATCCCATTTCCGTAATTGGAGTATCAATCACTCTTCTTTCACCAAATCTATCCAATAATCCTCTTGAAATCTTGTAAGCACCATTATACTGAGCAACTTCTTCCCCCATCAAGAACACATCGTCATCACGGTCCAATTCTTCAGCAATGGCCGAGTTCAATGCATCTCTAACTGTCATGGTTTGTGGACCTGAAGCCGACGATGCTGGACGTTGTCCTGACATTCTTAATGCGTGGTATTGACCTGCTTGCGCTAAGGTTCTGCCATTAGCGCTACCCGAAGTCTTCAATGCTTGAGCAGCCAAACTGGCTGTCTTTGCGACGTTTGATATTTTAGAAGCAACCATTATTCCAAACCTATGCCTATTCAATCTTAGAACTGTTTCCTGTCCGAATTAATCCCAGTATAAACTACTTCAAGATGACCTTTGATGGGAAAGATTCCACCAAACGGACAGATGAAGACCGTATCAACTTTTGAACTTGGTACACGACATCGGAGATGTAGCTCCGCGGATTTACAGGTTTGACGGGTGTTTACAGGTTGCGGCAAAATCGGCCGATTTTGCTGGTTAGAAATAATGTCCATGATATTACAGGTTGACACCAGATCTGGCCCTGTCGTGTTGTTTCAAAAACAAGGAGGGGAAAACCAAAGCAGTCCCCGGAACCAACCGCGTAGATATCCCCCGGTGGATACCGGACTATTTTTACCCAGCCTGTCGGGGTCAACATTACAATTGATGGGTGCACCCGGTAGCCCACGAAGCGAGAGAAGCCCATCAAGAGAGCCCTTTTAGCCAACAGATAAGGAATTTTGGTTCACAAAACTGGCTGAGGCTCAGACTAGACAGCGATAAGAGGGGGCATTGAGGGGATCCAGCCGTTTGAAGGATCAATTGGGAACGGAAGGATGGTCAGACGGAGGGAGTAGGGAGGTGGAAAGACGTTTGGGATGGGTAGGTTCTGGCCGAGAGGTGGTCGGAAGTGTTTTGGTATAGCAGGTATTTGCACGTGCATTGATAGTTAACGGTGAAGAAGAAGCTTGGTCGGAGGAGTCGGAATTGCCCAGTAGTCGCGATGGGAGAGACTATGACTATATATAAGATAGTAAATGGCCCTATATTGATTGGTTCAGGCAAGAAAAAGCAAGCAGAATCATTATAATTGCATAGAAAGATGCTCAGAACATTACTAAGACAGTCTCACGGTAGCAGGGCCACTCCGTGTGTGATGATGACCCGTCCGATGGCATACAGATATAAGGCCACTAATTTCCACAGACCAGACTCAGCAGGATCGAACGATGCAGCTGAAGCGGCCGATGCAGCAGCTACGGTTTTGGCGGACCAGAACGATATCCAGAAGCTTCCTAATAAAGCTACTTGGATAGATGCATTGCAAGAAAGAGAAAAGCAAACGAAGGCAGGTAAGACGTTGGACAGTTATTCGTATATGAACCCTAAGACCACGGAAGTGGGTGAAAAAACCCGAAGTGAGTCTTTTTCGTATTTGACGCTTCCATTTAAGGACGATAAGTGGTTGTGTGATTCGTATATCAATGCTTCGGGAAGATTGAGAGCGGGTCAGTTGTTCCAGGACTTGGATGCTTTGGCAGGGAGAATCGCCTATAGACACTGTTCACCGGCCGAGCCTGTGAATGTGACGGCATCGGTGGATCGTATTTATATGGTGAAGAAAGTAGATGAGATCCAGAACTATAATTTCGTGCTTGCTGGTGCTGTGACGTGGACGGGTAGATCGTCGATGGAGATTTCAGTCAAGGGATACGCTTTTGAGGGCCAAGTTCCTGAATCGATCACCGAAGAATCGTTACCAATCGAAAATGTGTTTTTGAGTGCTAATTTCACTTTTGTTGCTAGAAACCCAATTACCCACAAGTCTTTCGCTATTAATAGATTGCTCCCAGTAGTTGAAAAAGAATGGCTTGATTACCGCAGAGCAGAATCACGTAATGCCAAAAAGAAGTTGGCAGCTAAGAATCTGAAGATTATTGAACCAACAGAAGAAGAATGTAAATTGATTCATGAAATATGGAAGTCTTCAAAGTCCATGGAAGCTAAGGCTCAACCACCTAAAAACTTTTCGTTCATGAAAGATACCAATGTATCATCTACTTTATACATGCAACCACAATATAGAAACAGACATTCTTATATGATCTTTGGTGGTTACTTGTTAAGACAATCTTTTGAATTAGCTTATTGTGCATCTGCTGCTTTTGCTAAGGCTGCTCCAAGATTTGTATCGTTAGATTCTACTACTTTCAAACAACCGGTTCCAGTTGGCTCTGTTTTATCTATGACGGCCACCGTTTCTTACACCGAACACATTCATGAAAAGGGTAATTCTTACAATGACACTCCATTCGGATTCTCCTTACCTGCAACCAATAAATTATCATCTAACCCGGACGCATTCTTATCAGAATGCGGTACATTGATACAAGTCAGAGTTGACACTACCATCAAGCATTTGGAAAGTGCTGAAGCTAAAGAATCAGGAACATTTATCTACTCTTTCTTCCTTCCAAAGAATTCCAAGGATGAGGAAGTTGATTACTGTTCTATTATGCCTCAAACGTATTCCGAAATGATGGAATACGTAGAAGGTAGAAGAAGAGCTCAAGATACAGCTAATTTTGTTGACACTTTACCAGATACAAGTGCAAAGCCTAAACTTTAATTTTACTTAACTAATTATAACTACTTTAATTTTACTTAACTAATTCTAAGTTCTATTTTATCCTAATACATATTCTTTAAATTTAAATTATTATATCAATTAAATTATATATTATATAAAAATTACTAGTAGTACAATCCGACTCACTAAATGTGAGATCTTTAATTAAAAATAGAGTAAAAGTATAACCAAACACCCATAAAAATCAAAATCAAAATATCATTATAAGAATAAAAGCATATTACATGCAAAAAATTGAAAAAAAAACAAATTAAGCCCAGAAACTTTTACGTCACCCTAAATCAAATGCAAAAAATAGATAACTATTCAAATATCAATCCATACTAGCATGAACCAGCCAAGAAATAAACCTACACACTATCATCATCATAGTGGATTTGTGCAGTTTCACCCTCTAAGTCAATATGTGGTTCATGTGCAGATTCTCTCATGCTGGATTTTCTTGTAAAATCAACCAATTTTGCTTTTGTATTTAATGATGCATTTGAAATTCTTGGATTCTCAGAGCTAGTTCTTCCTAATGAAATGGCTGATAAGTTTGAACCCCTAATTGGCGAGCTTTGTAACTCATATCCTATCTTAGGAGTATTTGCATTTGCATCATTGGCTAAGAAATTGTCAGATGAAGGGGAAATTAAATTATCAGTACTTGTTGATTCCACCCATTTTATTTCACTGTTAGGATTTCTTGTTGCTATGAATTCATCTGCAAAATCGCCATGCTCATTGTTTTGATTCACCAATTGCTGGTAGCTTGTAGGACCTGAAGTATTTCTTGATTCTTGGAAGCGGGAATCTAAACTAGCGGTATCATCGCCCAAGACGTTATTCGTACGAATAAGTGTTGCATCGTTATATGAATTATTTGTATCGTTTGAATTGTCCTTAGAGTTCTCTTCAACTAAAATGTCTAAATCACTAGAAGGGGTTTTTGAGCGTGCTGAAATATCTCTCAGCAAACCATTGGCACTTCCAATGATATTGCCATCACTATCCAATCTTTGAATATTTCCAGATTCTTCTCTTCTTAATAATGCATTTAGTGAACCATTACTTAAAAATTGTCCCGAACCGAATGATGACTGGTTAGAATTTCTATAAGAATTGTCATCGACTAATCTAACTGAGAACAATTGCTCCGTGTTAACAGTACTCATGGAAGCATCTGATTGTCTGACCTTATTATTCTTGGATAATAAGGCCAGTCCTGCAACTGCTCCAGCTCCTGCTCCTGCTGCGGCTCCTACACCTGCAGTTCCTAACATTCCACCATTTGCAATATCTGATTTATCGTTTGCTCTCCATGATTTAAGAGGTTTCTCAGATGCATCAAAGTATCTTGAATCATCACTATATTCTGATTCAACATGAGTGATTGATGAGGAAGTACTGTGTGCATCAGATGCTAGCTTTTCTTTTTCATCTAACTTCAAAACATTAAGGGCTGCCAATTGTTTGGCATTTTCATCACGGTCATCTAAGTCCACGGTGGTACCAAAGCCTGGACCAGTTAATTCTGGTGATCCACTACCTACAGCAGCTCCGGTAGCTGCTGCTGCTGCTGCCTTTTCGTGATCACCATTCTCTTCTTTGTTATTCTTTCTTCTTTTAAGACAACAGAAGAGAAGTATAAGTGCTGCGAGTGCAATCAAAAACAATGGAATTCCTACCCCTAGACCGATGGCTAATGCCTTATGATTATTTCCACTTGATTTATTTTGAGCAGCTGCGCCCGATGAGCTTGCAGTTGATTTAGATGTAGTAGAGCTTGAAGATCTGCTACTTGAAGATCTTGACGAACTCGAACTCGATGATGTTTTCTTCTTTGAAATACCATCAATATTAAAGCTCTTGGTTTCACTGTCATAATCTGAAGAAGCTACAACCTTAACCTTTACTTTATCCAAATTCTTAGGAGCTGTACCAGTAAAGGTTCTGTTGTCTTTATGATAAGTTAACCAATCTGCATTATAATCAACTGAAATCTTTGTATTGTTATAATCAGTGAAGAGAGACTTCAAAAGTTCGTAACTGAAAAACTCCCCTTTTGTTGCGTTTACATCACGTAAATCTTTAACTGTGAAAACGGACCCAATTGCATCAATCAGATATGGTAAATCTACTGAATTTCCATACTTATCTTCAACAATAATGGTGAAATTATCGAAGGTTGACTTTTCTGGGAAATTACCAGTTAAAGTGAAATTATCTTCGTGGAAAGTCACATAGTCAGGTAAATCTTCAGCATACACATTGGAAATGTTTGCCGTGGAAATGGTTTCTCCATCCAAGTAAACATCTGATAATATAGGAACATCGACATCGATTTCACTCTTCAAGGTACCATTAAGTTTGATTGTTTCGTTTAATGAGGTACTCAATTGATGGCCTCCAACGACCAATTTGAAAATACCCTCTGCACCTGCAAATCCATAATAATCAGAAGCGATAAATGAAAATCCATATTCAAAGGATGGAGCGTTTTCTGATGTAACATAAGGAACAGTCCCCGAGAAAGACAAGTCATCCGAGTCGAAGTTAATCCAGTTAGGTAAGGAACTTCTGTCCGAAGATCTTCCGTAGTAAGCAATAATTGGTCTTGTTGAGTTAGAGGAAGACTTGAAAACAGACGAATCGAACTTGATATCAAATTTGTCGCCCTCATTAACCACAAGTCCATCGTTCCCATTTGTGTAGCCGTATTTAGCAATTTCGGTGAACATCACGTCATCTGACGATAAATGTAACCCTTCGTCTTCCGAAACGATCATAGAATACAGGTTGGACAAGGTAGAGCCATCATTCGAGTCTGTACCCGTCAATGTGATGTTGAAATCACCAGCATCTTTCTTTGAAGGTGTTCCTGTAAATGTCCTAGATCCGCCGTCAAAGGACATCCAACTAGGCAAGTTTGAAGCAGAATAACTCACCTCTCCATCAGCCTTGTATGTCGTGTTCGCCATGGTAAACAAATATGGCTCGTTCACACGGGCAACATTAGGCAATTGTTCATTTAATGGAAACCCAATATACACCGACCCATACGATACTCTTATTAAGTCTAGACAGAAGAATACTAACAAGTATAGCGTATTCATTCTTCCCTTATTTCTTGTACCTCTAGTCTTTATGCTATGTTTTCCTATTTCTTTCCGCTGTTAGTCCCTTATTTATTATTTTCTAACCAAACGTAATTTTTTAAACAAGAATGCTTCTAGATATATCACTTCTAGACTGTTTACACAAGGAATGCCAGACAAATTGATATTATTTCTCTTATGAATGATATCTTTCACTAAGTTGAACAGAAACTATAAAACAAATGTCGACTTTTTTTCTCTAATTCTTCAATCCTGTTTTCCTACTACTCAAGGACTCCTGAAGGTGTATGTGCCATTTCTATAATTAACCTCTTCACTATACCAGAGTAGAAAAATTGTTACATCAAAACGTAAGGGACAAAACAAAACGCGCTTTGAGAATGGTGTTGTATTTACAAAATCGTGGTACGATCGCGTTTTTGACGATGTAGACGCTACTAACAATAAACGAATGTGTATGATTGGAAACCTTACAAGTACGAGGAGATCGTGTAATTCATGATAGTGTCAACAAAGACGTACGACGAGACGATTCTGTTGGTACAATTCGTGTTTTATTAATACTATTCCTGAATTAGGTTAAAATATAGAAAATATAGACTGTATTATATTACGTATTTATCTAATGCAAAGACGTGTACATGCTAGATTAGGATGTTAGGTCTTGAGTGTCTGGTGTCTGTATAAAGGTAGTTTTTCGTTTTGGGCTGAATTCAGGCGAAAATAGGGTACGTGGCACTTGAAAGTCACTCGACCGTACGGCGATGACATACGCTTGTAGACGAGCCATTGCAGGCAAACGGTCGCATGTGTACACGACGCATAAGGTGTTGAAGGACTGGAAATGGTCGGGGATTCGCAATAGAAAGGATCCGTAGGTCCTATCGAATGAAATATTGGCCGAAAACAGATAGTTATCTTACGAAATCAGGACGATTGGATACTGGACTCTTGCGATAGTATTGCATCTGAAATCCGGGGACATACAAGCTCGAAATTTCAAACAATGGAAATGACCTAACGGACAATATTCTTCAACCCCATATTTATAACCATCTAGGAATGTAGTAGACGACTGAAAGTCCAATGTAACCAAAAACAAGTCCCACAAGCTTTTCACCGATCGAATGGAAGTATATGTTAGTCATGAATAGCATGAACCACCACAAAGAGATCAATGGGATTATAACGGTGTGGGGATCCTGTGCAAAAAGACCCATGAGCAATTGAGATTTGCTAGCAGTAGCCAGTCTCCAACTTCTTATAAATTGGCACAAATGATGCTTTAATGTAGCCCACGAACTCCAGAACGGTATTGCTTCTAAAAACAAATATAACGACGAGTGGATAAGTAAAAAGACGTGACCCGAAGGATCATGGCCACCTTCCCAGCTACCTTTTAATTTTCTGCACATATAGGACGTTATGGCCCTCGATTCGTAGTTCAAACCAGACTCTATCTCCGTGAATATGCTCGAAGTTCCATATGACGGAATGTGGTTTGCCAATTTCTCCTGAGCTATTCCAGTACATTTGCCACCTGTCCAAACAAATACCTTATCCATGAGTGGCAAGCCAAAGCACCACTGTGTGAAAAGAACCCACCATATCGTAGCAATAGCATAATTAAAGATTGCCTTTTTCAACACGCTAATTCTTTGTTGCTTAGTACGAATACTAGGGTGATGATTGCCGTAGATCAAAAACGAATAAAACATCACTATAGCTAATGTGGTCCAGCCCCACCCCTTTTTAACAAACAACTGGTTAAACAAATTACGCTTGTTATTGTAGTAGTTATATACCTCTTCATGCTGTGCAGTTATATGGATCAATTTTCCCAAGAAGAAATTAGCGATAAACGATACTATAAATATCAACTCACCGGTTGATAATCTTATACTCTTCGATATTGAGCCTGTTAATTTCTCTATTTTTTGGAAATGTCTGTCATAAATGTCATGATTTGGTGAATCTGATAATGACATGACTATTCTATCTATATTTTATTTGTGGTCTAGTATGATGGCAATTAAATAAGTTTCATTTTCAGTAGCAATTGATATTCTTATATCAGCGATGAGTTTGTGTAATTTTAGTCTACAATGTATGGAGAATATAATAATACAATGTTATGCAAGGATATATATGGTTATATTGGTATTTTGATATACTTATCATATCTTGTGATATCTTGTGATTCTTGGCTTTGGCTATGGCTTTACTCTAAGAATTTCCGGCCAAGTTCCCTAAGTTATTATAGATCTCTCGAATGTAAAAATCAAGAGCTGTTTATCATGTACTTGCATTATGACATACTGAATGCAATGATATATATTGTAAGTTCATACTTGCTTTTTAGGGTGTTAATGTAATTTGTAGTCATTATTGCCGAATGCTTTATTGAAGCAGGCTTAAGGAAATATCATGAATAGATTCCACTCTTTTGATCGAATAGATATTCGAGATTGAAGCAGTAAGAGTGACATACTTACACATACAATCTATTTTAGTCTGCTTCAAGGCATTCTTTCAATATTAATCATGTTGTGCAAATATGCATGCATTGGACGATGGACCATAAAATAGTGTCTAGTTACTTCCAAGACCATTAACTTCTACCGTTGGTTGGTCTTTATCTTCGGTATTGGATGCATTGAGTCCCTCTGACTGTGATTGGGGAGTGGCGCCGAAAACGCTATCTTGATCTTGCCATCTCTTAACCATGTCGTTCATTACGGTGTTCATGAAATCTGGAACCAAAATATTTTTTCTAAACTCTTCGTTCTGTAATAGAGTTAATATGTGCAAGCAGTTTGGGTATACTAAGTATTTCGAATATTCTGGTTCTTTCCAGTAATTAAGGTATTCAATATAGTTTAAAAATTCAGGATTACTTAAATAGTTATTCTGTGCTAAATGATTCAAATACTGAATATTCGCTAAAGATTGGACAAACTCCAATTCTATTTCCCATCTGGTTGGTAAAGATTCGTCCATTTTTGATTCCCGTCGGTGTCTATTAAAAGAAATGATAGAGAAGTAAATTTACTTCATTCAATTTTTTACGATAGAAAATCGCAATATCGTTTATCAAAACATAAACAGAGTATATTCATTTATTTATAGAGTTCAACCTACGATATAATGTCGTCTTCAAAACGTCAGATTGCGTTGGAGAAGGAATTACAACAATTAACTGCTATAAATACAAGTGTTGCCACAATGATTGAGGCCATTAGAAGTACCCAAACAAATATTATGAAAACTCAAGAATCAACCGAGAATACAGATAAATTGCTAAACCAATGGATTCGTATATTATCACAGACCAACTTCACTAATGAAATATTACAAAATCCCCATTGGAATGGTTCTACAGAAATCGATGACGAAGAAATCGAAATAAAATTGAATGAAGAACAAGAATTGATAAACGATTTGAATGAATTGATAAACGAAAATAGTGAGTTATCTAAAACAATTGAACAAAAGGAACAAAAGGAAAAACTAGATGAAAATAGAAGACGTGAACTAATAAGTAGAAGACATAAAGAATTGGGTTTACGAAGTGTTCCCAAGAAAAGAGGTACATCAAGAGTCTATAAGTAATGTCGGATTTGTTTCAAACTTGTGCAAACAGAAAGCCAACAACGTTTACATAGCTTGTTCAAAAGTATATGGCATCATATGAGTGGAAAAATGGGACAGATATTATAGGAGAGAGACATCCTATACCAGAGCTTCAATCTGGAAGCTTACAAGTCCATAGCTGTATAAGATGCACGGCTGTCGAGATACTACAATATTTTCCCGTATATCAAATATAACAAACGTGCATTTAAACGTAACAATTAAACATCACAGAATTAAATAAATAAATAGGAAATATACATAAACTGAAGCTAAGTCTAGTTAGATTATTTAACAACACTGGCAATCAAATCGTTAGCATCTACTGAATCACCTTCTTTTATAAGAATTTCACCAATTTTACCCAGAACTGGAGAACTGATAACCATTTCCATTTTCATGGCGGATAAAACAGCGATAGGATCACCCTTCTTAACTTCATTACCGACCTTTGATCTGATTTCAACAACCACACCAGCCATTGGAGCACCAACTTCGTTAGGGCTGCTGGCTTTGGCTCTGGTCTTGGTTTCAATGGAAACAGTCTTGTCATCAACAGTGACTGATCTCATTTCACCATTCAATTCAAAGAAAACTTCTCTAGTACCAGTCTGCTGTGAAATTTCACCAACAGCTAATAACTTAATGATCAAAGTCTTACCCTGTTCGATATCAAGAACAATTTCTTCATTAATTTTACATGCCTTCAAGAAGAAACGGGTTGGTAATACAGATAAGTCACCGTATTTTTCTGATAATTCTCTGAAATCTTCATAGACCTTGGGATACATAACATGTGAAGCAATATCACATTCATTGATATTAGAACCGTATCTAGAAACGAGTTCTTCCTTAACGGCAGCAAAGTCGATAGGAGGTAAATTGAGACCAGGTCTGTTATTTAACTTGGCTCTCTTGGTACCCAAGATATTAGTTCTTAAAGGTTCTGGGAATCCACCGTATGGAGTACCCATTAAACCTTCCATGAAATCTAAGACAGAACTTGGGAAGTCTAACTCACTAGCTAATTTAGTAACGTCTTCTTCGCTCAAATTGTTTGAGACCATAAATTGGGCCAAATCACCAACAACCTTAGAAGTTGGCGTAACCTTAACGATATCACCTAATAATTTATTGGCAGTCTTATAAGCTTCCTTTGTCAACAACCATTTGCTACCTAAACCTAATTGTTGGGCTTGGAACAATAAGTTAGTTAATTGACCACCTGGGATTTCGTGCTGGTAGACTTCAGGATCTGGACCCTTTAAGTCAGCTTCGAAACATGAGTATAATAATCTCATTTGTGCCCAGTAGTTATCTAACTCTCTAACCAATGAGGGTTGTAAGCCACTTTCGACCTCACCTTCAAACGAAGCCAAGATAGCATTGATTGAAGGTTGAGAAGTCATACCAGACATAGAGTTAGATGCAGCATCAACAACATCAGCACCGGCCTTTGCGGCCTCGGTCATACTGGCAACACCAGTACCAGCAGAATCGTGAGTATGGACATGAATTGGTAAGTTAGGGTATCTTTCTCTAATAGCACCAACCAAAATCTTGGCAGCCTTTGGTTTCAAAGTACCTGCCATATCTTTGATACCTAAAAAGTGAGTACCCAACTTGACTATTTCATCAACGACATTCAAGTAGTATTCCAAATTATATTTCTTACCTGATTTTAACATATCACCAGAGTAACAAACGGTGGCTTCAATGACACCTCCGGCTTTCTTGACAGCATCAATACCAACCTTTAATTGTTCCAAATCGTTCAATGCATCGAAAACTCTAAAAATATCAACACCATTTTCCTTTGCTTGAAGAACGAATTGGTCAATAGCATTATCTGGTAATGAAGAGTAAGCAACACCGTTAGCACCTCTTAACAACATTTGGAATGGAATGTTTGGAACCAACTTACGCAACTTTCTCAATCTGCTCCATGGATCTTCATATAAGAATCTCATACAGACATCAAAAGTAGCACCACCCCAACATTCTAAAGCAAAACAACCGTTTAATGCAACAGCAGTTGTAGGAGCAATGTTTAACAAGTCGATGGTTCTGACTCTTGTAGCTAACAAAGATTGATGTGCATCTCTCCAAGTAGTATCCATAAGTAATGTACCGTTGAATTCACGAACCTTTTGAGCGAATTTTTCTGGACCTTCCTCTAATAATACCTGTCTCCAGCCTCTTGGAGCAACTTCATTGTGAATCTCGATCTTAACACCAGTTTGAGGATCATGCAAATCCGGAATTAAAGCTTCCGTGTCTAACTTAGGCTCACCAATTTGACCCTTAATAGACGAACCATTAACGATCAAATCACCTAAGTAACTCAAGATCTTAGTGGCTCTGTTTTGGGAGCGGATCATTTGGAACAAGGATGGAGTGTCATCAATAAAAGTAGTCCAACAATCACCATTGATAAATGTTTCATTTGTCAATAAGGCTAATAAGAATGGAATATTAGTCTTAACTCCTCTAATTCTGAATTCAATCAAAGCTCTCAACATCTTTCTTCTAACAATTTCGTACGTAGAACCAGAGCACGAACACTTGACCAACATGGAATCGTAATGAGGAGAGATAATTGAACCAGCAAAACCATTACCACCATCTAATCTGACTCCATTACCACCTGCAGATCTATAAACCTCGATTTTACCTGTGTCAGGTTGAAAGTTCTTCGAAGGGTCTTCAGTGGTAATTCTACATTGAATAGCAAATCCTCTGGTAGTGATCTTATCTTGTAATAATCCCAATTGTTTTAAAGATGCACCAGCAGCAATTTGTATTTGAGCAGCAACGATATCAACTCCGGTGATTTCTTCGGTGATCGTGTGTTCGACTTGAATTCTTGGGTTAATTTCGATGAAGTAATGTCTATCTTGTTCATCAACCAAGAATTCAGCAGTACCAGCATTACGATAGTTAGCCAGTCTAGCCAATTTGACGGCATCGGTCAAAATGGCATCTCTGACCAGCTTAGTCAACGTCTTTGCTGGAGCTACTTCGACGACCTTTTGGTGTCTTCTTTGAACAGAACAGTCTCTTTCGAAAAGATGGATGACGTTACCGTAGTTATCGGCCAACAATTGGACTTCAATGTGCTTAGGCTTGTCTAAGAATCTTTCGATGAAACAGGTACCATTACCAAATGCGGTTTTGGCTTCAGAAACAGCTCTTTCGAAAGCTTCGCTGACAGAGTCACCTTCTCTGACCACTCTCATACCTCTACCACCACCACCAAAGGCGGCTTTAATGATGACAGGTAAACCGTGCTTTTCGACGAACTTGACGGCTTCTTCGACATCAGCAATTGGTCCAGGGGTACCTGGGACAACTGGCACGTCGTTTTGGATGGCCAATGTTCTGGCACTAACCTTGTCCCCGACGGAGTCAATGGTCTTGTAAGTAGGTCCAATCCACGAAATACCCGCTTCTTCGACCTTTCTGGCAAATTCGGAATTTTCAGAAAGAAATCCGTAACCAGGGTGAATCATGTTAACGCCATGCTCCTTAGCAATCTTGATAATCTCATCAATTTGCAAATATGCTTGAACTGGGGAAAATTGTCCCTTTTTACCAATAACGTATGATTCGTCTGCCTTCAATCTGTGCATGGACAATCTATCCTCGTGTGCATAGATAGCCACCGTCTGCATCGACAATTCGTGAGCAGTACGGAAAATTCTGATAGGGATTTCCCCTCTGTTAGCAACCAAGATCTTATTCATAGGACCCATCACCGTTGATGCCCTTCTCATCTGGTTGATCTTGTGTTCATTACCGTCGCTCATGTTGGATGTTTGCGTTATGACAATAATTTCCCAATAATACCAATAGCACTATATCTAACTACCACTGAAAAAAATTTGAATAATTGTTCCCTTATATATGAAAAAAACAAGAGTTATGTATTTTTTTTTTTTCGGCGTCAATTGAGTCACTTTTGTAGGTATTACTCCAGGGTTGATTGAAAGTTATCATTTGATTGGATCGTGATATTCCCAGGGAGACAAAAAGACGACGATTCCGCGTTGCGAGCGCTTGGCACGGTGACTATTACTCCGAACAAATCCACCCACCAGCAACGGTGGAGGACGACGTCCGGGGAGGTGGATAAAAGGATAGAGGACACAATGGGTGTGAAAGAGGAGCTGTATAGCCGTTGGGGGATTGTAAGTGGTCTCGTTAGGCGATGAAGGGTACTAGATCGTAGTTCGTATGAGTGGATGAGAATAGGGGATATCATTTGCCCGACGAGTCATTTCGGAGTGCTAGAAAGTCCGACGCCGATAACGCCCACATTATCCTCGGCCCAGATGACTCAAGAAAATTACGTCAATACTTCTTCGGGATATAATGTCCGGGGAGGGCTGCGAGTATATATTGTGCGGGCTTCGAGCGATATCTAGCAGTTGGTCGATCGGAATTCTCCCGAAGCATGGGTGAAGGGAAGTAGACAGAGTCAATGATCTTCAGAAGTGAATGGCAGCCGTATAAGAGGACCCGGAGATGAAGTGATGAATGTCTAGTGCAGTATTGAATAGAATGAAAAGACTAGGATGGCATAACGACACAAGAACGACATACGAACGACATACGAACCAGTACGAACGACACTACGAATGCGAGCAAAACCAGCGATTAGTGCACTCGGATAAATAGTCAGGGCGGACGGTGGGGTTTTGGTGGGGATAATCCGTAAGGTTGGTCGGTTATATGGGTATTTCCAAGATCGTGGTTTTACACACGCCCATCCTTACACCAGAATCAATTCACATCCTTACCCATGAAGCGCACATTAATCTCCATCGTAATGCGGATTAATTAGTTTTAAATCCATACACCGGTTACATCCTGCACCAATACTCTGGTCAACTCCTCACTGTCCACCTACCTCCGATTACTCCTCGTGGGAGTCCTCTCTATTATTTGTCGTATCACCGACCCACTCGATGTACCACCTTCCAGCGGGCTTACAGACCCGCTGTTCCCGCAGTAGTTTCCCTCCCGCCAAATTGCTCGGTGTTCGGGTGCCGACCTTCACATGCCTCTGCGATAAGAGCTGCTCTCTCTGCGATTCGTGCGATTTCCTAGATAGCGCAAGTGTGCATGGCACAGCTAACGCCATTACTGCCTACTTTTATGTTGCTGCTTAGAAAAATCATGCAATCCATGCTTGATGCTCGGTAGTTGTGGCCCATTTGCGCCATTTGTCCTACAATTTTTTTTTTTTCATTTGCACCTTATAAATTTCGCTAATCCCCATTGATTTCATCTGAAAATTTTGTTTTCTAGTCTGTAGATACCCAAATTAGTTCGTATGATCGCCGCTAGAAGCTTTAGTACCGTTTCAAGAATCGCTTTCCAAAAGGAATCTGTCGCCGGCAGTGCCTTCAATGCTGCTAAAAACTCCCGTAACTTGGGCCTCAAATGGAAGCCTACCCACGGTAACTCGTTCAGAACTTTCGCTGAATACAGATTGAAAGCCGCTAACCAGTCTCCATTAGCTATCAAGTTAAAGGCTAAAAAATAAATTTGTAGGCTCTGGTAGCTGAAACGATAAAAATAGAGATACCTTCACATACTAAAGAAATCAAAAATCAAAAGTCAAAAGCGAACGCAAAAGAAAATCGCATTTTATTACGGTGTATGATATAATATGATTAGGTTAGATATATGGGCACACAGGATACGCTAGTACGGGTGTATAGTATATGGATTCAGGCGAATAAATGGTTTTTTCACCTAACACAATTGTATGGTCAGTAGAGCGTGTAAGCAGTAGATCTCATAGTAATTTAAAACCAGTATTGAATGAGACTACGAAGTAGATCGAAAGCAGAGGTAGCATAAAAACGAGACGTAAAATCCGATAGATCAAACAATGTCCGGCAGGGCGTGCTATCGGGTGTCCTGACGTCTGTGGCATGTGGCACACTTCAACAGGGTTGCTCTAAATGACAATCTTCGGTTGGTCTTATTCCCTTAACGTGGTTATGCTCATCTGTCACGTGTATTTTCGTAATCTGGCTCCAATTTTATGAATCTGTGGATAACTAATCAAATATATAGGGTCAGATGTCACTAAAGATGACATATTAAGAGACATTGGGTTGATTAACAGATACATACATTGACAGCAACAACTACGCCTGATAGAAGACCAAATGTAACTATGAATAACTCAAGAGACTTGAATTTGCCCCACGACAAATCGCATCCGACTGAGAACTCCAGTACGGTTCCAGAAAACAACGCTACGTCTTCTTCGCTTTTGGAGCAGTTAGTGTACATCGATAACTTCATGCATACCAACTCTGGTAGCACGGGCGAGCCTACACCTAATTTGGACATGGACGGGCAGTTGTCACTCGATTTGGCTGCGTTTGCGGACGACTCGTTTATCTTTCCTGACGAGGACAAGAAGCCCAGTTCACCGTATTTGAACAACAATCATGGAAATAATGGTAATGATGACTTTTCCAATCATAACCAGAACGGTTCCGGTAATAGCAACGGGCGTAAGATACCCAATAACGACTTGAACGGAGCCTTGGACCATGATCTTATCGGGAACCACATACCAGGAACCAGTGCTAGCCATGGTAATAACGACTTCCACGAACATCACAACGGGTTTGGTGAACCTCCACATCCGAATGTTAACGTATCCAGTTTGCCTAAGTGGCCTGTGCCCCCGGGTGCAAAGTCTTCGCTTGAATCTGCAGGGCTCTCTCAAAATCAAATCGAGCTATTATCGGCCTTGGTGGCACAGCACCAACTGAACTTGCCTCCTACTCAACCAGCCGCACAACCACACAGAGACACCACTCGATCTCCTAGCATCACAGTTAGTGTAGATGGTGGTAATGATGGTCAGGGTATCAGCGATGCTGCCAATAGCGCGGCAAGCAATTCTGATGAACACAGTCATGAGTCTGAGTTAGACAAACGTAGGCGAAACACAGCCGCAAGTGCAAGGTTCCGTATCAAGAAAAAGATGAAAGAAAAGCAAATGGAGGATAGAATACAAAGCTTAAACGAGTTGATAAAAACGTTCGAATCTAAAACACAACAGCTTGAAATGGAGAATAAGCTATTAAAAAATCTTATTATAGAAAAAGGGAGTCAAAAATCAGAATATGAGTTGAGAATGTTGAAGGAAAGAGCAAGACAATAGAATAGACGAGCTTATTTTTAATGGTTCAAATAAAATCTTGCACACTTCTGTATTTAATTCTATTTATCGGGTATAAATGTATGATCTTTATTAGAGATATATGTAAACCAATGTATGTTAGTCAATATGACAATTTTAACAATTTTAAGAACAAAGAATCGATATGGCTGTATTTATTTGTATATTTTAAACATATTTGAACATATTTGTATATTTTATCAAATATTATGAATTGCACTTGAAAAAATCGAAAAGATTCAAAAAAGTATTTTTAAGTGGATATGTTGGCTAAATACAATATAGAAGCTTTTACCAATTAGAAAGTGAGTTAAGAGATACAAGCTTCATACTCCGCTGTCGGAGTGGTTGCATACTTTTTACATTTTTTCGCATCAAATAAATCAGAGTATGTATTATAGTTCTATAAATTTAAAATTAGTGGATAGTAAGTACTCTATGACCAATAGGCTGTTAAAAAATTCTAATGGTTTTCTTCTAACTCATATGCGTTGTTGTCAAGTTTATCATAACCATCACCATCATTTTCTACATATTTCAAATCTCTCCATATATAAATCAATGCACCTATTGCGAACAATTCAACAACATCAGGGACATGAACACCTCTCGCGTAAGACTCCTGCGCTCCTCGATCATTTAACAAATATTTGTTTTTGATAAAATTAGGTATAGATGAACGGCCAGCAGGAATAACTATGAGAGGAGATAAAATGTATGCAGCTAATATGATCTGAATTGAAAGTAAAAACCTAGCATCTCTTTTGAGAGAATGCTTGTATGTACCATATGCAATATACGCGAGGGCACATAGGATCACAACGTAAAGTATTATAAACCCAACAGCCAATGGAACTGGTAATCTGCTTCTATACCTGTCTAGGTAAATAAGCATATCGTTTTTAAGATCTTGCAACTCATAGAAATACTTCGGAAAGCTTTGAATACCATACAATAACGTTATGCCACATACCTTCCATAAGACGGATCTTCTATTGGTAAACGTGAAGAATGAAGTGCAATAGCCAAAAGCAAAAAGTACCACCAAAAGGAAGCTCGCAAGACCCAATATGTACTTGAAAATAGTCAATACAACTAAAACCTTATAATCTCCCAATTGTTGAATATTAAAATTATCAAACATGACCAAGAAAACTAAATATATGACTCCAAATACTAATTTGACAGATAGATATTTGAATAAAGTCCTGGAAATGTTTGAGAATTTGAAATTCATTGTAGCAAGCAATTTTCTCTTATTAAGATACACAATGGCAGTAACCACAGAGCAAAGTAGGTAGATAGGAATCGTAATAATTAGCCTGAATTTATCTACACGATGAAAATCTTTTGGTACAGCATTTTGCCCTAACGGTCTACCTTTGAACCTGTTGTTAGAATACTCATACCAGTAAGCAGTATCGTTGATGGGCTGTCTTAACTCATCTTCATACTTGCTCACTACATAAGTTAGGACTTCAAACGTGTCTAAGGTTATTAAATTCTTAATAAATTCTTCACCGGGTTCCATATTTATAGGACAAAGACCCATCGCCTTACAATCCTCTAACGTGAAGTTAAAACCCATATTGGACAGAAATCCCTTGTGTGTATCCCCATTGACTATGCTATTATAAAAGCCAATATCTATATCAACAGGATTTAATTGATTCTTGGCCTCAGATTTCAAACATAGGCCGAACGAAAAGTAAAAAAAGATAAGCCAATTGATCTTAAATCTCATTTTAAACTGATTAAGAAAAGTTGATATTAAAATCTGTAAATTCTACTACTTCAGAAGAGCTTTTATATTCCCATCAAATCTTTAAGTAGAAGTAGTATCATTGGCTAGGGGGTCTAGGATACTGCATGATTATATATGTATGATTCTCTAATATGTCATGCGGGTGGAATAATCTGTGAGAAGAAATGTTAGTTTAAATAGGTGCTGGAGATGAAGGTTAGTCCAGCAAGTTAGATAATTAGCTTCTCTTAATCTCTGCATACATACTATACTTCAATGCCACTATAACAAAGTTTAAAGGAAACGAAATTAATAATATGTCACTAATAATTTGTTAATTATATTTTTCATTTCTATGTCATGTAAGTCAAAATCTGCATTATGACGACAACTTATGAATTTCGCAGTAATACTAAGTCATCAATTCAGAATTATTCCGAATTAGTAAGATTCTTATCAATTTATTTTATACAAAACTATTAAGTAATGAAATTATTCTAAATGAACTTCAAGTAGTTGGTATGCAGCTGGGTTTAGTTATAAATTGAGAGGTTTTAGCGATTTTTATTACCGAGTATCCTCTAAGAATAGAATCGACGAACTGGAAATCTTCTGATCCCCAAAATCAACTAGAGCCTTATTATGCGAATATTCCTTAGGAGCTTGTGTATATGGAACCATAGAAGAATTGGCAATACATCTCCTGATTCTCGTGAAATTTACAATATCACTGAGAGCGCCTGTGTAACCGCATTTAGATTTCTTGCCATGCGAGTCTTAATACCGAGAAATTACTGTGGAAGTGCTTTCTCTCCACCCGAATCCCTTCCTATTTCTTCGTACATCTCTCTTGAATATGATATATGTAGCCTTCTATACCAATTCCATGAATTCTCATAGACTTCTTGTTATAATCGCAACTATTCTCATAGAAAATAATCATGTTAATTTATTACTGGGGCTCCTATTATATATCACCTTTAACTACACAACGTATTTTTTTTCTACATTGGCGATGGCTTCCATAAATCACTATTTGATCTAACAATTAGTCCGCATCACCATATGCTATCAACCCGTCTTCTATGCATGGAATTTTATCCTTAAAACTAGGTGTAATGTGAAAGTCACAAGTATGCAAAAAAAAGCCTCGATCACTGACACATGTTAAGCGATTAGATAAGCTGGTACTATCTATAGAAACGTATTATATTCCTACGTTGATCTGCATGGCTATTGATCCAGTTAGGATCATTCATTGAAGCATACTCCATAATAGAGAAACCTAAAAATTTTCTCAATATGACCGAAACGGTAAGTCTAACCACACCACACGCCCCTCGTTAAAGCTATTTATAAGGTTACGGCTATCCTTTCATGAAATAATATTAATAGGAGTGTCCCCACATTGTTTACAAATGAGCAAATGATAATTTTGACCAAGGGATGTTTGTGATACTGTAGCTAGTGTTTTTTATACGAATTCATGTCAAAATACACCGTACTAGAACCCTGCAGTGTGCAACACCAGGAGGGGATTCTCTAAACATCCTCAAATGAATCAAACAATTTTACTGCATATGTTTTAGGGCTATTGTTATTACGCATGAACTAAAACCGATATATCGGATTATTGGAGTAATTGGTCGATAGCCTGGTTACAAGTATGATTGAGATTCCTTATAATAGGCCACTCAAAACAGGATTTGAATATGGACAGAACTTAACGACCGTGTAGAAAATGATTGGTAGGTCTCATTAGTAAGACTGGCTTAAAAATATAATCGGGAGGATGGCCGTTCGGTAAACCGGTACATCAAGGGTCAGTAGGTAAAAATAACTCCCATTAATAAGCATTGTGTAGCAGAATCTAGACATTTGTACACCTTTTGAATAGCAGAGGTTAGAATGTGGAGAAGAAGCTCTGCTCATCGCGTGTCACGATAACAAACGTTAGATAATACTATTTCTAGTATGTGTGGCTGAGGGATTACAAGAGCTAGTAAAAGCAATGGGAAATGCGAGGGTTAAGGCCGTGTGCCTTTTCTACTAAACTGATAAGCTGGAATAAGGTATCTATCATTCTATATCTATCTATCATAAATCATATCCATAATGCATTTGTAGTGCTTTGCACTTTGATGTGTTGAAGCCAGTACCATAGTGACTGGCTGTAGTCATATTTCATTCAGAAATCGTCTAATCTTGAGCTTTTTGACGGTTTTTCTCCAATTGACTAAATCGTTATTCTTGAGAGAATCTACCAAAGATCCGATAGACGACCCTCTAGATCCGGTGCTGTTGTGCCTAGATGTACCCATGCTGTTAGTATGGGTTATTTCATTCACGTCGGCGTCGTCGAATTCTACCGCATGCGAAGATGACAATGGCGAGAACAGCTCGAACGCAAAACTGTGTCCTTTAGGTCTGTAGCATATTTCGTGGTTTTCTAACTCTCCAGCTTCTCTGCTACACCCTTGGGGCTTATGCTTGTAGCAGTCTGCTTGTATCTGGAGCTTCATCAACTTGACAAACTCGTGGTACGAATCGCAGAGAAGATCGTAGATTATCATCTTGGCCTTCAACGCCAAATCTTCGCTCGGAAACTCCCCTTCGCATTCCAAAAGCCCATTTCTTACGTTGCATGGTAGGTTAATCTCTTTGAGGGCATCCTCTAGCACGAAAGTCATCATGATATATTGCCATGCGTTCTTCTTCTCCACACTCCTTGTTTCAGCCAAAAATTTATTCATGAACACTACGAATTCATAATTTTCAAGGCAATGACTGTTTGACAAATATTGAACCAAATTTCGTCTATTAAACGGACCAACACTTTTATCATTAATTATGTCCTCTAGGCTAGGCACATTCTGGCTCTTTTCTTCATCCAATATTAAATATTCGCAAGGTATTTCCTTATTCCTATGAGTTATAGCTATGTCTGGTTCACTTATAGGAAATATCCTATAGTTTGACATCTTAGTGGTGTTTCTAATTAAAATAGTACTTTTGTAAAATAATTCTCCTATATCTGTTATATATGATAATTAATAGTGGGGTTCCGATAAACTAAATTCTAACGGTTATAAAATAATTGCGCGAGCCCACAATGCCATGAACAATAGGCTCCTAATTATTTTAATTTACGTACACTGCATCATGTAACTTTTTTAAGGACCTGCTGGTTACAAGCCATAATCCACAAATAAAATTCCGGTTGTGCATTGTGACCGTTTTGGATTTTAACTGGCAAGTGTAGCATATAAACGGTCAAGCATACGTGCATAAACAATAAGGTTTCTGGCTACAGGTTTAAATGTAGGACTAAAGTTGCTAGTATGACCACTAAATGTCAGCAGATGTAAGTAGCATGATCTCAAATCGGATGATAAGCAGAGGGGAGATACGGAATATTATACGAAAGGTAAAGTCGTATGGCCCGTAATGGCCTGTCTGTGGAGAATCGGATCAAATGGTATTCTGGAACAGTCGAAATATCAGTTGTGACAAACGGATTGTGGTGCACTCGGATAACGAACAATATGAAACATGATGGTATCCAGTAACAGCATGAGTGATGCAATTCGATGCGTTAATTATGGCACAGACATGCGGTTCGGAGTCCGATAGCCGGGGGATAAGAATGTTATCACCGTGCACTTGTTATCGACACCACACTTGGCGGCTGTGTGATAATGTGTAGATACGCGATAATGGGTGTAGTAGTGGTTTTCGGAGAACCATTTTTTGTTTATCAATGACAGGAATAAAGTCGCACCAGCCCGAAGACGGCTTGGCCGGCAATTAGTGGTTGATTAAGCGATCATCTATGTTTATGAATTTGTTTTCGACCGCAGCAGCCGCTATTGACTGGATTGAGTCGTTGAAGTGGTCTAGTTCCCCAGGTTCTTTTAAATCGTCGTTGGAGTGGCCAGGATCATTTCGTATTTGTGCGTGTATGTCACTTCTAAGATCTGGGTGGTCTGAGGGGTCGTCGTAGTCTACAGCGTTGTTTGAGTGGCATTTGTGAGTGTATGCAATGGTTACACCACCGATCAATAGGTCGTAGTTGAGATTTACTTTGGAGAAGCAGTTGTAGATTTTCAATTTGTTGCTGACTCGCTTGTGCTGCTTACTGCGAGATTTGCGTTGTTTGGTCTTATCCTGGCAACAAATAAACATCAACGACACCTTTTTGGTTTTAATTCCGCCCTTGTGGTAGTCTCTAATGGGGAACTTGTAGCCCGTGACCATGCTTATGGGATCAATATAGCGTCTTACTAGCTTTTTCGATATGTTCGAGTAGAACTCATTGGGGTTAGTCTGTTGGTTTATTTCCGTTATGGTGTAAATGGGGAATTCGTCGTCATTTACACTCTCCATAAACTTGATGTTTGACAAGTCGGTGTTTTTGTTTGTCTTTAGGATTTCTAGGTAATTGTTGAACTTGTGGAATGTATTAGTGTGGAAGTCGACCGACTGTTGATCCAATGCTGGAAACTGTTTTACGATTTTTCGTTTATTCCGACACTTACTACAGGTTGAGTACTTGAATAGTTCAAATTCTGTTTCGTCTAGACGTTTTCCTCGACACCTGGAACACTTTTTTACCGATTCCATGCTTGACTCTGCTTTAATTGTAGTTCTACATTGAATGTACGTACTTTTGATCTTCCATATCAACGTTTAGTACACGACTAAAATATAATTTGCTATTTTACATTATCTATAGAGCTATATAAGAATAAATGTAGATTGTAGATGATCTGAATTGTTGCAGGATACTGGGTTATAGTTGTAAAGAGATTGCTCCATTATGAAACAAATTGGCATTCCTGTTCATCGACAAACGATAAAAGTTCTCTCATTCGTAGAATCGTGGTAGAAGTATTATGTAAGTGGTAGACGTGGGATACACGCCGTCTAAGTCAACGGAAAGTGAATTTTGAATGAATTGTAATATGGGGGTGTTGAAGTGGGGGCATAGAATTGTGTTGATGAAATGTGGATGAAACTGATATTTCAGTGGTTTTGTAAAGGTGAAATTTTATGGTAAAAACAGCTCAAAATTTCTTATTGTAACTATCTTTTGGATAAGGGATCGGATTGAATGGTGGTTTAAGTCAATGGATATTGTTGATTCATAAATATCATTATTTTTCCAAGTTCTTAACATTCGTCGAGATAGTGTGATAAATCAATATCAAAATTACCGAAGCAATACCAAAAGTCAACACAATCGTATTTAACTGGTCATCTGTGATCATCTTTTCCTTTATATTCTATAATATTATCGTACTAGAACTGTTATCTTGAACAAGTAAGAGAAGAAGTAATTACGTGGTAATAAAAAAAGGTGCGATTAAATTTATCGTGTTTAATTTTTCAATTAGTACTTGCCTATTTAGTACCTATCATGAAGCCACCGCCAAGATCACTCGAAGAATGGCTATATAGGTACTTAATGGAATCACCGAGGTTCCATCATTATGTTCGTCGGGTTCATGCTAAAATTAATCGAATCCCAATGCATGAGGAGGTTCATAAAACGATGGAAGCTGGAGACTATAAGCCCACGAGAGCTCACAAGTTTAATGCATTTAGAATAATTTGGTACGATGAGTTAAAGAGATCATTTGGCTTTGGAAAACGCTAAGAACGAAGGTTAATGCTATTATTCAAATTTGCCATACGACCCTATAGTAAAACAGCAACTAATAATGCTACGCCGATAATCAGAAATCTTGTACAAAGAAAAGTGTAATAAATACAGGAAGAGGTGATGTTATCCATTTTAAGAGGACAGAACGAAGTCTATGGATTTACAGTCTTAGCTATCTCTCTAACAGAAGCCAGTTGACTCTATTAATGCACGCAAGTATTTATTAACTATATATTTATATACTAATAGTTATTGACAATATTATCTCTGGAGAATAAGGAGCTTTTATTAGCTTTACGGAAGTTCTTCTTATTCGCCATCGACACATCATCTTGTAACGCAATAATAACATCTGAATTTGAACTAAATTTGAAATTATCGGCAATGACGTTTTGATCATATCGTTTGATCAAATATGGTTGATCTTCCTTACTGGAGTTGTTACTCAAGACCTTCTTCAATGACCACGAAATAATATATGGACCAGTGGATGTGACAATTGTAGTTTCTTTTGAATCAATACCGGTATTAAAGTATGCTTTGGTGAATTGTAATGGTTTGCCCTCGGTTTTCATGGACATATATGCAACATGCTCAGGTTTAATAGTTAATCTTCTTGGTTTAGGTTTCTTATCCTTGTCGAAAGACTTAACGTATCCTAGGCTTCCTTCGTTTCTCTGGTTAGCTCCAACCTTGGCGTCAACCAATAATAAATATGTTTTACAAGTAGCCAAAACCCATCTTCCATCATTTGAAACATCGATTCCTATGATAGGTTCACCCAAAGATGGCAATAAACTCTTAGCATTTGTACCCAATCTATCAAACAATCTAATATCACCCTTTGCTGAACCGACTGCAAGGTAACCTTGTTCAGTAGTAGAGAGTGCCAGAAAATTATAATTAGGTGTTCTTAAGTTATCACCTCCTTGAACTAATTTGGTAGTTGGTAATCTTGGATCTACTTTGAATAACTTATTCTTTGACATACCGGTCAATGTTTGTTCGTCAGTCAACTGAGAGAATTTGCTGTTTGGACCATACGATTCAATAGGTATGATATCATCCACTTCCCACTCATCAACAATTTTTCCTCTGTTTAAATCCATTTTGTAGAGTCGCTTGTTATCCATATTCTTGTTAGCCATGATCATATGTTGATCTTGCATATGTAGCATTACTTGTTCAGGTGTAAATCTTTTGCCATCCAAAGTTTTCAAATTCGAAATGGTGGTTTGATAATTCAAATTGTTATTATTATTATTGAAAACTCCCAATTTATCACCTCTTACGACGTATGATCTATCATTTGCATATCCGACCGATAAATTCGAATTTTTATCTTGTTCACGCTTGAAAGCATCTAATTGATTTTCTTCATCATAATCACCAAAGTCATCTTCTTCAGCGTCATATTTCTGATGAGGCTTTGTCTCACCACGTATACTCTTGTTAACCAATTTGTTGATAGCATCTTCATCATCGCTGTAATTGTCAATTAGCATATCGTCATCACTCATTTGATTAATCTCCTTTTTATCCTCTTCTGTAAGATCTTCATCATCGATAGCAAGTTTTGAGAATGCATCGAGAACATAACTTTGTTCTGAAGGACGACTCTTATTCCATTTAGTTTTATTTAAAGATTCCCACATGCCCTTCATGAAATTGACTTGAAACTCTTGTAGTTCGTTGAAATGAGAAAACTTCAATAACCAGGAATATGCCAATGTTTGAGTTTCTGATTTCTTAACAAAGTGATTGAATATGAATGATAGGTATTCAAAATTGAAAGTGGGATTCATATCAGCACTGAGAATACATTCAAAATCGATTTTTTTCGACTTATGATTACTTGATAAACGCAATGAATATGTCCAGTTTTCCAACTCAATTATTTTGAGGATCATTTCAGGCTTTGGTACTTGAAGGTTAAACACTCCTGCATCAGAATCAAACAAATGTAAATCGAAGTTTGAACATTCATAGAGTACATCTCCTTTATTCAAAGGTTCTTTTTTCGAAGAAAATTCAGATGGAATAGCATTAGTTGACTTAGTAGGAGATTTTTCGGATGTTGCTCGCGATTTATTTGTTGCGCTTGGTGTCGAACGGGATTCAGCATCATGGAATTCATCTACAGATGACACAGACTGGTAATCATCCCCCGAGTCAACATCCTCTGACCCTTCGTCGTCCTCATAGTTCAGGAAGTCGCCTCTAAGGTCTTCAAATGTCAATAATTCGGATTTCGGGTTGTAAATAAACTCCTGCAATTGGTTCATATTGGTGATACCTAAAGAGCTCTTGTGGTATTTCAGTTCAAATAAACACTTGAACAATGCAAACATAAACGAATCGAACTCAGTTATCTTGATGTCGGTGTCCACCGTGAATTCGAATTTATCTCCCAAATCCCCGTTCAAATCCTTCCATGCCAAGGTCTTACTTCCATCTGCTTTGTCATAAGTGTGAATTTTCAATTCTTCCAGAATAGGGAAACTCCATTCATCTTTCGAGTGTCCCCCTGCATTAGCATCGCTAATCGAATGGGGCGTATCGTGATCATCTTCATCTGAGTCATCTGAATCATCAAATCCACTCGATCCATGTGCATCTAACTCTCCCTCTTGATAAACTCTCGTTATACATAACTGATAGTAAAATGGTGAGGTTGTCTGTCTAATTGAAGCAAATGCATCATTGTATAAGCATTCCAACTCTCCTTTTGGTGATTGCGGCGATCTTGCAAGAAATAACCTCCCAGACGGAATCAGAGCAACCTCGTCAGTAGGAGTTGATCCTAAGAATTTTTTTAAGAAATTCATCTAATTCTTAGAGTTCAAACTTACTATATCTTAGTTATATGATAAAATGTAATTAGTACTAATTATCATATTTGTTATGTTATCTTGTTAATCATCATAGAAGTTTTGTGTAGCGCACATTCAAATTTTTTTGATTAAATTTTTTTGTTAGATAGAAATTTTTCATAGATTGTACATCAGTTAATATTGAATAGAGATAACTAGACAGGATATTGAAGGTGATGTTCAGGGTATTAATTCCATTGAGGAGGGTTATACCGAGAAATGGGGGGTTTATAGGTGGTATAACCAGAATACAGGCATATTCCACCAAGAAAGATAAATCAGAAGAGATGTTTAAGATCAAGATAAAGCAGAAGGAAAAGGAAGCGCAGCAGAAATTGCCAGAATGGACCAAGAGAGATGAAACTATACGGAAGAGATACGGAGAGTGGAATCCGACGCATAGGCTATCACGCCAGCAGATCCAGGACATAAGAAATATCAAAGATAAGATGCCGCATATGAAGACGATCGAGCTTTCAAATCATTTCAAGATATCGCCGGAGGCAATCAGGAGAATATTGAAGTCAAATTGGGTTCCCAGTGATACGGAGGAGGAGCGGATCCGTCTTCGGGGTGAAAAGCGTAAGGAAGAGAGTCTCGTCCACAAGAAAGAGATGATAAATGATATCGAGCTTGCCAGGAAACGTCTTACCTACGGTAAGAGTGTCAATATGGGAGGAACAAACGTGGGGAATTCTGGCAGAAGAACAGGCAAGAATTTGAGAAATGCATTCAGCACCGACGGTAAGGTCAACTTTGATAGCAGTAACAGCCACGGATATTATAACAGGAAAAGTAAAACTAAGGCATTTAAAAGAAAACCATACGTTGAAAACGTAGGGGACATCATAGATTAATTCGCACCATTTTTAATGATTAATGAGATCGCATGTATATATTGTAAATAGCAAGTCATTTAAGAACAGTTATTACCCAGCTTGAGGGTATAGGAACTTTTATTAATATATTGTAGGCCACGTTACAGACTCATATCTAATTTTTTTATCTATTTACATTGCATCCTTTCATACCTAGACAAAAGCCATAAAACATAGTCTATAAATAAAGGAGCACATTCCTGATGACAATGTACCATTAAATCCACAACATGACATACCGTAGGCAATCGGAATTTCAACCGTCTCTGTAAAAAATGCGTCTCAACAGCTCCCTTTCGAAATAAGAATGAATCAATACCTTTGCGATCCTTCCTTTGCGACACTTTGGGTCTCTTTTCTCATGGCGAGATCTTCCCCAGCATCGGTAACTGTGCCCTTCGATATAACATCCATTTATCTTCTCGAATCGGACCTCACATTCTCTCACCATCGTCCCTAAAGCTGTCTTTTCGACTTCATTGCTACCTCCTGTTGGTTTATATACAAGGTTTTCTGGAGAAATATTACCGTATTCTAAATACCGTTGGACTTTCAACTCAGCTTCTTTATCCCATGGGAAAATCTCCCATTTTGTCAAACTTCCATCCATCATTTTCCTGAAAACCTTTGTATAATATTTTTTATTCCTATGGTCCACAAGTTTGCATATTTTTTCATCATAATGTCACTAATATTAGGCAGCAGAAGTTCTTCGTGAATCATGGAATGTGCACCTTCAATAAGTCGTATGATGCATATTTCCTTCCCAGAACCTTCTTTTCCTTGCGATATTCAAACAAATACATTATGTTGACAGAAGGGCCACCACATATAGTATTTTAGCCACATTGGAAATATCAAAAAGATCACCATGTTCACACCTAACGATATACTTTTGTTCATTTTCTTGTATCCCAACACCTGAGTTACTTTTCATACTGTTATTCAAAAAAAGCTTGAAAAATCCAAATTGTTAAAGTGTAGTTTTGTTCCATACTCTTTTCAAAAATCAAGTTCGTTCAGTTTGCAAAGTTCCATCTCTGAGTCATGATGATATATCGAAATGATCACATTATCAGTTCTTTTCTTTGTTCATATGAAGCGCATTAATCTCTATAATCAATTTGTAATTGATAGTCCTAGTATGGTATTTAATAAAGCAGTTATCAACATATCATTAGTACAGTTAAACGGTGTATCAGGTCTGATATCGATATAGAATTCCTGTATATTGTCGAATCTTGGAGCCGAGGTTATTCACTCCAATTGATATCAACTACATACAACTTGATGTTCCTAGGAAGAGGGAAGAGAGCTTGCCTTACTAACTAAACATCTATAATGTCACGAGTACCTGTTCTCACCATACCAGAGTCAGCTTACGACCCCAGCACGTATACTTTATCGCCTCATCAATATAGTGGTCGTAAATCCAAATTATTAGCATTCTTGATTAAATTGACGCATGGTTCAGCCATTACATTGACATTGGCGTATATAATAGGGTTATTTGTCCTTAAGCCGTTGATGGAGACCACAGCCAGTCGTCGTTATGAATTACTTGAACAATTTCGTGGTAAGCTTCGTGATTGCTATTTAAATCTTATCGGAAGGGTTAGTTACATACCTATTGTGGCCATAAACAAGAATGATGGAAGTGGAAAGTTATATGCCGACGCTATTTGCCAAACAAATGACTCGTACTTGGAGTCCACCAGTTACAAGACTATAAGTGAAGAAGAGGAAGAATTGAACAAAAGCGATAAATTATTCCAAGGCAGATTAACCACCAGATTAGCCAGATTAGCCACAGTGTTGAAAAATTGTGAAGCATATCGTTCCGAGGAGATACCAAGCTACAAAACAGTCAATTTTGCCTTGAAGGACTTTCAGAATAAGGCAGACTTGACGTATTTCAACTCCAACGAGTTATTCACCGCAACGGCCGACAATACCGATTCACCAAGTGGATCTGCACCTAGAAAGAGAAATTTAGCAGTGGATACGAAGAACGAAATAAGAAGCATTAAGGGTTTATTTATGAGTGGCCAGATATAAGCGTTTTCTTCTATTGATTGGAAGTTATCGTCATATCATCTTGTTGACAATTCTTTTTGCTATGTCTTTGCCCATTTGAAAATTTTTAATTGCATTAACAAGTAATGAACTTGAATTTATAATAAGATGTCTATATACTGGAAGAACAAGAGGAAATGTAGCATTAATTATTCATATAAGGCCATATCTATATACTTCGCGTGATTTTGTGTAAGCTTATGTCCAATATTGAAGATACCTAGAAAACGTAGATTTAATGAAATAGGCATACTTCCTTTAATTGTAAACCTACCGATATGCCTCCTGTAATACATGACAGTGATGATGAAGAAAGATATTCTGAGGCAGATTCATCGGCAATAGCATTAAACCAGGACGAAGAAGCTGGTGAGCAATATAATAATCTTAACTATGCCAAAGATCAGGACTCAGACTTATCATCAGTGTTGAGCGATGACAACGACGGCGATGACAAACAGGCTGGCGATGAAGAAAATGAGGAAGACGAAGACGAGGATGAAGACGAAGCTGAAGAACAAGAATCAAGTGATGTAGAAGAAGCTGCAGACGAGAAAGCACCAGCAGATGATGAAGGTGAAGAAGAAGACGAAGAAGACGAAGGCGATTTGGAAGACCTAGATGAAGAAGATGACGAAGAAGAGGAAGAAGAAGAAGAAGAAGAAGAGGAGGAAATACCAAGCATTAGTGATGAAGAAGATAATTACAAATTGGAGGATCTCGATGAGATTGACGATGACTTAGAATTGAGGGAAGAAGAAGAAGAGGAAATACCTAAGCTGGTATCCCCAGCAAAGGTTGGCTCCAGAACATCAAGCAGATTAAAGCAAGATGTAGTTCCAGCAACAACAAGAGAAACCAGGAAACGTCAATTGACACTTTACGATGAAGAAGAAGAAGAAGACGACTACGAAGATGACTACGAAGATGCGCCTAAAAGGCAGAAACCAACCAGAAAATCCCGCCGTGGACCTGAGCCCGAAGTACAACCTCAAGATCTTGACGAGGATTTGATACTAACTGATGAAGAAGTCGAGTACAATCCTCGTGCCAACCCAGACCTATCCAAAATGACAGAAAGACAAAGATCCAGATACATGGAAGAAGAAGTCGACAAGAAAAAGGAGTTCCTTGAGTTGGACGATAACATGACTAATACAAAGAAGGCCAGACCTAAGAAGACGGAAACAGAACAACAGATCGCGCTTAAAAAGGCCGAGAGCGCCCGAAGAAGACAGGATTACAAGATGAAGGTTCTAGAAGAAGAAAAAAGGGACACATTGAACAAGTTATTGAAGAGAAGAGCTAACAAAACTAGAGAAACAGCTGATAAAGAAGGTAGTGCAGATGTATTAAAACTGGCATTAAAGCCTAGACGACCAACTTTGGAACATCCAGCCTTCTTCAGGTGGGTTTCTAACACTACCACCCTTGATGGGAACTCTGTCTTACGTTTCCCAGCCCCTAATTAGTGTATTTATATAGGTAGGTTCTATACTAAATCGAAAAGACCCCGAGTCACGTGTAATCAATACCAACTTCGGTGAAAATTAAATTCAGGGCCCTTCTATAGTGTTTAAGATATGAAAAGAAGCAGAAAGGCGCCGCTTTCGATTTGAAACTGACTTTGAATATTGTTCACTTTACATAGAAGACTGTTTATAACGATTGGTACGAATTAAATATAAAGATTCGCTGAATATCGTTGGAACTGATCCAAATAGAAGTGATTGATAAGAGTACGAGAGAACAAAAGTATAATTTTTTCGACACAAGATACGTCCCAAGATTTCCATTTAATATAGTTAGAATCCCATCAAATTAGAGATACAGCATAGAAAAAGCATATGAGGTAGTATGAATGGAAATCTGAATATGAATGTTATGAATATGCCAGGGATGAATATGAATATGGCTGGCATGAACAATAATAATAACAATAATCAGGCCATGGCAGCGATGATGCAGAACCAAAATTTTGGTAATCCGTTAATGCAACAGCCCCAGATACAGCAACAACAGCCACTACCACAGCAGGGTGTTTCCCAGAGGCCTGGAATGCATAGGGCTGCGACGATTCAACAGGGGAATCCAGTGACGGGACAAGCACCAATGGCGAAGATGGGACAGTTCAGTCCAAATGGAATTATTTCGGGACCTAATTCTGCACCTATTCCAGGAACAGGCAACAATTCAGCGGGTACATCTCAGGGGCATACGCCCCAGATGGGCAACCAACCACAACCCCCTTTGCAAGGCCAATTTCCACCTCAATTTCCTCAACAACCAGTACAGCAAGGACAGAAAATAAATGGTGGGCCCATCAACAGTAATGTCACGCCAATAGTACCACAACAACAACAACCGACTCCACAGAGCCAGCCACGTCCGGGGATGCCTCAGCAGAAGCAAAATATGCCAATGCAAGGCCAAATTCAAGGAGGTCAGTTACATTCCCCAATGCAAAAACAGCCGATAGCAAATAGTCCTCAGTTCTTTAGAAATCAAGAACAAGAACAAATGCAAAATGAATTAAATGCAAAAATTTTTAAAAGGAATTTGGGTAATGCAGGTGTTATCCGTATATTGAATCTAATTGATCAAATAAGTAATGAATCATATGAAAACTTGTCCAAATTAGGATTCTGGCAAAAGGTTATACAACTTTATTGTGTTCCCTCATGTACTGTGAGATTAACTACAGCACCTTCTTCTAATGCAAGCAAATCGGCTAATCATAAATTCACTTTGGATGCACAACAGCATACATTACCTCGCCAATTTGAATTAAATGTGTTAACGGCACCACGATTTTTTCTCGCTCAAATATTATCGGGTCAAGTTTCTAAACTATCGATTACTTTACCAGGGTTAAAGTTTCAAGTAATGAATAACAGCTCAATTTTTATTATATCCCGGTTATCTATACAATACAATTACGCAGACGGTTCGGTATCGAATGTTACTGGAACGTTTAAAATGTTAATGAATAGAGAATTTCGCATTGAATGGATAGACTGCCAATGTTCAAATATTCAAAGTTCTGTCAACTTTGAAACTTTGGAAAGACAATGGGCCAATTTTTCCCAATCTCAACATGAAAATGACAGAAAGGAAGAAGATGATCAAAGTCAACAAGAATTCCCTAAGTACTTACGCCAATCTTCGACCGCTATAGCATCGTCTGATACTTGTGGGTTGCATGAAGATGCATTCAGAGTTTTGCAAATAGGAGACGTAATGTCACATCTTAGAGCATTGATGGGATTCTCAACAGCAAATAATATCAGTTCACCAATGAAGTCCCTAGAACTTTTTATGTCTGTTAATAACAACCAGCAACCTCAGAATATACAACCCCAAAACAAGATGAATTCAAATGATCCTAGTAAGAATGGTACATCACCATCTCCAAATATGAATACATGAAGTTTGAAGTATATCCAGTATTAACGGGCTGGTCTTGTTATTCTTCAACAGTCCTACATTGTATCAGAGGAACACTTTTAAAAGTAGCCTAACTAGGAACTAATTTTCGTATAAAATTTTAACTCTGTTACTTATGACATAATTAATGTATACTATTAGACTTAAACACAATCAAGATATATAAAATGTATTCGCGTGAGTAATTCGAATATTTTTCGAAACTACTTTTCTTATCTTAAAAGTTTGAACCATAATCTTAGCTTGTATAGCTTCTAAATGATGTTAAACGCGGTCCTATATGACAGATATGATAGATATGGTACATGTTAAAGAAAAGAAAAACGATGAAAGTAAATATACGAAGTGTGATGAGAATATAAAATTGAATGTAGATTTACAAAGTGAGATCACTAATGAGAATACTTCAATAAATCGACTGATTTCATCTGACACACAACCACTTGCAAACATATCGACAAAGAACAATAGTCCCCAGGACACTGGTAGCCAACCAGACACACAGGAAGAGCATAATGATAATTCGAGATCATATATGGATGCAAATGCTTCTCTCAATTCTACTATTATAACCCAGGACATAATTGATAATAATGAAAGAAACACCGTAACACAGACTATTACATGTGATGTAAGGAGAGAATATTCGGAAAACCACGACAAGAAAAACGTGAAGAAGGAAACAATTGAAACTCAAGACGACAATCTGTCAGATGAAGAGGCAGTACGAAAAGGGCTAGATTCAAAAATATTCGAGAATATGCCGCTATTTGAAGTTACTAGACCAAAAATCTTAAACGAAGTTGTTGGTCAAACTCATTTAATCAATAATCATAATGGGTCGATTAAAAATTTTATACGATTGGGATATTTACCGTCCATGATATTGCATGGTCCACCAGGTGTTGGTAAAACTTCCATCGCCTCGATTTTGGCTCAGGAAACAGGTTACGTATTCATTGAATTTTCAGCAACCGATGCTACTGTGAGTGATTTAAAGGAATTACTGACTACAATTGAGAAGGAAAATCGAAAGAGGTCAATGAAAGAAATGGACTATCTCCGGGTTGTTGTATTTATTGACGAGATCCATCGATTTACTAAAACTCAGCAAGATTTCCTATTACCGTTTATTGAACTGGGTGTATTTACTTTTATTGGCGCAACAACCTTAAATCCTGAGGTACGTATTCGTAGAGCTATCATTTCTCGTTGCCAAATATTTCAGTTGAAAGCTTTAGAGCCCAATGAGATCGACATGGTGATTCGAAAGGCCATATTGTACGAAAATATTAGAAGAAGAGTTTTGTGGAATCTACGGTCTCTTTCATATGACGATAATTGTTTAAATTTATTAGTGAGACGATCTAATGGTGATACAAGAGCCGCTGTTAATTTAGTCGAATTGGTAAGTACTCATTATAATATAAAGGATCTAAAATACCAAGTTGGAAACCATGAACTGTTTCTATTAGACTTGAATACCTTGAAAAGAGCAATTGAAAGCCTCAAGATAAATCTTTCGGGTCTTCAGGACACCAAAAATTTAAACTTGTTTCTTGATTTATACGATTCAATGAGACACATTAAGAAGAATCGAACTACAGGATCAAATTTTCAAAGAGCATGCCATAATACAGATCCAGTAGGAGCTCGGTTATCTAATGATATCTTTTCTTCTCCGAACACTGTATCTGAAAAACTGTCGGTCTATAAAATGGAAGTTGAAAAGTATGGTATAGGAAAATCTAAACTCTCAAGTGATGAAAGCGAAACTAAATTTAATGCAAATAATATGGCTAATGCACTGATTTGCAAGTCAGAAAAAAACTCAATAATAATGAAAATTACAATTCCTAGTGAACGACTTAAATGTCTGGTGGAAGTGGATGATAAACCATTAAACCTGGATAGCTGTAGTGATTACAATGAAGAATCTAAAGGGTTTCAATTTGATAGAGAGGGATATAATGATTTGGAAAAATCATATATTGCTCAAATGGAAGTATCTGATGATAGTGATGTAGAGGCTGGCCCTCTATATTTTGATAGAGAGGAGGATCTACAACCAATAGATATGCAAAAGATATCGGTAACTAAATATTTTGCTGTATCTTCAATATATTCTTTGATAATGCTTTTGAATAGAGGAGAAACGCCATTTTTTATTGGGAAACAACTAATTTTATTCACCGCTATATACTTGAAATCTGATAACTCAGATTTGGGTAAAACAATGGCACTGTTGAAATCATTCAAAAACTCCAATACGGATATGTTGACCACTTTATCAAATTGTGTTCTTCGACTCACCAGGGCTGAGAAATTGAGCAGTTTAGAATCCAGTAATTTCCTCCTGAACTTGAAATATATAAAGCAATACTGCTACTTTGAGCTACAAGAACATGGTAATAAGAATACTAATCATATCGGTGCTAACAATGATGAATCAGTAGAAATTGTATATGATTCAAACCTAGTTGAAGACCTATTAAAACCGGTTGACGAAACATCTTTCAAAACTTCTAAACCCATATTTGAAATAGAGAGTCTAGATGCTTTTAGAAATTCAAACAAAGAACAGTGTATGCACATACCACACGATATTGATGATAAAGATGATGGGTCAGAACATTCATATTCGACTGTAATCGATATTGTGGCAGATTCACCACCTAAATTGAATACAGATGAATCAAAAACAAGCGCTTGTCTGGCATCTCAAAAATGCCAACAGGATTCTAATTCGGATGATAGTGATGCTAATGAAACTAATCTTTCACTAATCAAGAACCCTGAAACACAACTGGAATAAAAAAATTTCAGGAGTCGCAAGTTTTATTTGTGGTTTTTGCAATCGTTTTTAAATTATATATTTCTTTAGCTCATTAGAAATACTAAATAATGTCAGACCAAGATCTGATTGTAACAAGGAAAAGCAGAGAAGAAAACCCTGGAGTAATCTTTGAAAGTGATTCTAATTATGTTCAAAATATCTTTTCTTCGATATTCAAATATGTATTCATCATTGCAGGCTCATTAATTAATTCTGTTGCTAGATGTCTTATATTTAACGTCATGGTACTTTTTGGCGTTAGAGATAGAGTTAAAGGGGCATGTGATAATGTTTTAAATATACAACTTAGTATAATTGAAATTATAGTATTCGGGAATATTTTTCTCTTTCGTTTTCTTTGTAAAATAACTGGAACAAGAATAAAACAAAACGATGATTCTGATGATAAATATGATAAATATGATAATAGGGGTTATTTAAGATACAGTGAGATACATCGTCAGTACTGGAGCCACGGAGATATCACATACAAGGATGAGGAAGATGCATACTCTGTTTCTACGAATATAAGGCCAATAACAAAATTCCTTGATATAGAGAATGTCGAAACAGTCCCATGTAACGACGTGAGAAATAACCACTCATATGAAACGCATGCTAATAATGAAAATGTAGAAAATGCATTTTCTACTGCAGATGTTGAAGGTCATAAAAGGTATTTTTCATTTTATAGAAAACAGAAGAAAGTGGGAGATTCACAATCCCTCAAATCTTAAGCAATTTCTCTCTATCTTAGGAAATAAAATACGATAATTGATAGAACAATAAATTCCTTAACCTATATTTACTGACGCTAATAGAGAACAGGAAATAATTAATATAGTATATAAAATTTTTTTATGAAAATGCTATATTACAGATTAAAATTTTACTCCAGTAAAATACGAAGCATGATGCTGAATTATAAAATGAAACTTAAAATTACTCAGTGTTTTCGGTTTGATCAACCGTAGTTGATTCTTCGTTCACATTGTCTTCACGTTCAGCTTCTTGATGGTGTGCATGATCATCATCATTATTTTCTTCATCATCTCCTTCTCCTAATGCAGCAAAGATATTAGCATTTGATTGAATTGATTCTGTTCTCTTCGAGTTTTCTCTTGGAGATAAATGACTGGCTGCTTGCTCAGAAGCATTGTTTGGTCTATTAGATTGGGATCTTGAAGATTGCACTGAGGTAAATCCACGCGAGTCTTTTGTTGGAGCTCTTGATTCAGATTTCTTTGATTGGTTACCCCAGGATGAGCCACCTCTTGAAGAATTGGATCTCGAATCATTGGATTTATTCTTTCTTCTTCTTTCCGCAGCGGCTTTTTCATCTTCTAACTTCTTGATCTCCGCGTCATTATGAATTTCTTGAATAGTCTTAGGACCTGCTTCTTCCTTAGCAGACTTCCATTTGGCAGCTCTTAAATCTTGTAAGTCCATCAACATAAATTTAATTCTTGATGAAAGCTTACAGTTGTCTAAGATAGTTTGAATGTTATCGAAAACAAAATTCAAGACAGCTCTATTCTTATCAGTGGTTTCTAATCTAGCACCAACAGTATTAACCAATTGAGTCAAGTTTTCTAAACTATCTTCTGATGGATCCTTAGTGTTACTTGATTGGTCCCTCAAACAGAGTAAGATCACTTGATCATTCAACATATTCAAGATATATAAGTGACCAATGAACTTAACCAAACCAAGACCTCTTCTCTTGGCAGCAGCCATAACATAATATTCATCAGACATCATTTCAGGTTCTAATGGAGTACCATCTTCATTTGTTGGTAACTTATCAGTCCAACCCTTTTCATATTCTGTTTGACAGGTTGTCAACAAGATTCTTCTGGCTAAATCACCACCCTTAGCAAATTCACCATTTTTGAGGCAAATATTCACATCCTTAATTTCATCACTCATTTGAGTGCACATCTTAGCACAGAATTGTGCATACATAGAAGACCAGTATGGCTCGTCACAAGCTTTAGCGAATGTTAATGATATTATTTCTCTTACGGTCTTAGCATTATCTTCCCATTTAGATTGGTTAGCCAATTTCAAGATATCATCAGTAATTGGTTCAAACATTTCTAAGGTTAATTTATTCAATAATGATTTAACCTTTCTTTCAATATCTTCACTTTCCAATATTTCTGATCCATCTGGAGCAAGCTTAACTTCAGCCTTCTTGGCCTTTGATCTTGGGACCCATCTGTTGGCTGATTTTTCTAATGGCTTAACTTCTTCAGCTGGCTTATCATCATGGTGGTCTCTATCTCTACCACCTCTCTTAGATTGGTTACCCTTTCTAGTAGATTTATCTCTTGGGCCACCACTTCCACCTCTTCTCTTAGAGCCACTTCTTGAATTAGTTCTTCCATCATTAAATTGGCCTCTTCCAGACATTGGGCCATTGAATCTACCTGACATTGAGTTGCCAAATTTATTCATGCCTCTTGAAGATTGCGATCCAGCACCTCTCTTGTTAACAGTCGATACAATACCTAAATTCTCTAATTTAGTTTTCCATTCATTGTCAAGTGGGAATTGTAATACATCACGGAATTGGATTAAGAATTGAGGGTCATATCTGTATTTCTTGGTTTCTGATTTCCACTTAGAATCGACGCCTACAAATGGGCTTGGATAAGTTACGGCAAATGGATCTTCGATACCAGAACTGGTGTGCAACTTTTCAAAGAATTGAGAAATGGTTTGTCCATCATCCTTTGGCTCGGTTTCTTCAGTTTCCAAAGCTTTAGCTTCTGAATCTTCAGTGACATCGTCTTTTGATTCTTCGTTGTCCTTTGCTTCGACTGATTCACCAGCAACTTCTTCTGCTGGTTCCTTTGTTTCTTGGGAGACTGAATCAGCTGATTCTTGGACTGGTTCTTCCTTTGATTCTTCCTTTAATTCTTCTTTTGGCTCTTCCTTTGGCTCTTCGATCTTAGAATCTTGTTTTATAGCGCTTGGTTCTTCGATATTTGAAATGTCAGTTTTTGATTGTTCGATCTTTGGCTCTTCTGTCTTTGGTTCTTCTATCTTTGGTTCTTCTGTCTTTGGCTCTTCCACTTTTGGAGATTCTTCCTTAGGAGCTTCAGCTACTGGGGTGGCAGCCTTTGGGGCTGGAGCTGGAGTTTCGACCTTTGGAGTTGCAGCCTTTGGAGTAGTTTCAGTCTTTGGTTCTTCCTTCTTATGTGCCGCAGATGCCTTAGCAGCTCTTTCCAAAATCTTTCTCTTAAACTCTTCTGCAACCGATAATTTACCGGTACTAGCAGCTGGCTGAGGCGAGGCCGTGCTTGGCGAAGCCGATGAAGTAACAGCAGATGAAGTGGAAGGAGAAGCAGAACTAGACACCGATACTGGTTCCTTGGCTATCTTCTCTTCAGCACCAGCGACGGTGGCATACGAGATCGCAGCCGGTACCACAGGAGATATGTGCGAAGTTACAGGAGATGCTGTGTCTTGCGATGGAGACGAGATCGGAGTGTTGGTTGCGTTGGACAACTTCTTCTTTTCTTCTAAATCGATCTGCTTGCCCTCCTTGGTGGTGATCTTGACCTTTCCACCTGGCAATGGCGAGTATGGTGGCTGTTGGAACGATTGCATTGGAGGCATTCCCGGAACCATTGGTGCGGCGTAGCCGTATGGCGATGGGTAGTATCCGTATGCATACATGTTCGGTGGGTAGCTGTTATAGTTATTGTACTGGTTATTGTGGTTGATCTTCTGGTTGTACCCCTTTCTGTTGTTATAGTGCTGTCTGCTGCCGTTGTTGTTCATGCTGTTACCATTATTGCTGCCATTGTAATTCTGTCTGTTATAGTGCTTGTACGGCTTGTTGGCACCTCCAGCATTACCGGCGTAGTTTCCGTAGCCCGCATTGCCAGCGTAGTATCCTTCTTGTGCCCCTGACCCCCCGCTAGGCCCCTGGTTCGATCCCTGGCTCACTCCCGCCGGGCTATTTACTGGTGTCGACTGCTGACTGTCTGATCCACTGCTTCCCCCCGCCACACTGGCGTTATTCAAGCTTGGCGACGCTTCTGGTGCTTGTTTCTTTTCACTCATCTCTACTTGTCGCCTGGTATATCCTAAATGTTCCCGCTTCCTGTTTTTCGTCCTTAAAAAACGTTTCGGTCAATTCCTGGTATAATTAGACGATGATATCCTTATTGGTTTCTATTAACCTAATATAGTCCCAATCAATGAATATCTGCTTTAAAATGTGAATTACTGTTATTAAGATCAATATACCTTGATCTTTACTATAAAAATAATTCTTAGCTTAATAAAATCCCTCTAAATCGAACTATTTCACAATGATTTTGGAAGGGCGTAAAAAATTTTGCTGAGTGAAAAAAAAAATTGGTGAGTGCGCGTTGATACTTAGAGATGAATTTTACACGGACACTGTGTATATTGAGATACTAACTATTTGAAGAGTTGGCCATATACTAGTAAACCGACGAGTAGAAGAACAAAGCCGTAGACGACAAGCGAATCCTTGAAGGACTCTGTCTGGAAACAATTGATGAGGATGATTGGTGGTTCGGAAGAGTCGTTGGTGCCGTCAGGAAGGGTGCTGGGGGCATTGGATGGACGGGCACAGATGTCCTGGGAAAGACAGAATTGTTTTGTGCAGTTTCCACAGCGGTCAATGGGCTGGACGATGGAGACGTCGTTGCACAGACACTTGCAGTACTGCTGGTATGCGGCAGCGGAGGCCACGAGCGACCAGAGGGCTAGTTTTGTGGGGAGGTTCATGGTGACGACTGGGACGGTGGTGGAATGGGGTGCGCTTTTGGGTGCGATTTTGAGGGAGCGGATTATGATGGGTGTATGGATGTGGTGATTGGATGTATACCCGGGATAGGTTGAGCGGTGTAGATATCAGTAATATATCGTAGGGATGTTGGGAGGTGCATATCGTATCGAGCTGTAGTGTGTCTTTTGTGGGCTCGGAGGTGTTGTTGGAGTAGACAAGGCTGCAAGTGGTGGTAGTCATTGGCAGCTCCAGCGATTGTGGCTCGATCTCGCCAGAGATCGAGCAAACCTCCTTTGATTCTCAGGCCTATTCAATTGGCTTGGTCTGAGCCAGATATGCCCTCCAAACTGGGCCTATGGGGCCCCTATCGGCCATATGACCCTGGTAAATTGGCTGAAAAACCGTAGTTGGAATTTTTCGTTCCGCGCACGCCCTTCCACCTACTTGAAGGCAAAACGATAACCGCTACCACCACCGGACCATCATTATCAACACCCACCATGACAGTAGCAATGGGTAAGACATACGTCCACGAAGGAGGTATAAAGCCATACTTCGAGCAGCAGATTCAAGATGCCGAAATTAAGATCCAATCGACCTCCCAGAACTTGAGGAGATTGGAAGCTCAACGTAACAAGTTGAATAATAAAGTCAGACAATTAAAAGATGAATTGAGATTATTACAAGAACCAGGATCATACGTCGGAGAGGTTGTTAAGGTGATGGGCTTAAAAAAGGTTTTGGTGAAGATTCACCCCGAAGGTAAATATATTGTGAACATTTCCAAAGATATCGACATCAAGAAATTGACTCCATCGTTACGGGTATGCTTAAAGGCCGATTCATACGATTTACACAAGATCTTGCCCAACAAGGTTGATCCGTTGGTCTCATTGATGATGGTGGAAAAAGTTCCCGACTCCACTTACGATATGGTTGGTGGTTTGGATAAACAGATCAAAGAAATCAAAGAAGTCATCGAGTTGCCAGTAAAGCATCCAGAATTGTTTGAAAGCTTGGGGATCGCGCAGCCTAAGGGTGTTATATTATATGGTCCACCAGGTACCGGTAAGACGTTATTGGCCAGATCCGTTGCCCATCATACCGAATGTAAGTTCATTAGGGTGTCTGGTTCGGAATTGGTCCAAAAATACATCGGTGAAGGGTCACGTATGGTCCGTGAATTATTCATCATGGCCAGAGAGCATGCTCCATCCATTATCTTCATGGATGAAATCGATTCCATTGGGTCTTCGCGTGTCGAAGGGTCTTCTGGAGGTGATTCCGAAGTCCAAAGAACCATGTTGGAATTATTGAACCAATTGGACGGTTTCGAAAACTCAAAGGACATCAAAATCATCATGGCTACGAACAGGTTGGATATCTTGGACCCTGCTCTTTTAAGACCCGGTAGAATCGACAGAAAAATCGAATTCCCTGCTCCTACCATCACCGCCAGAACTGACATTTTAAAGATTCATTCCAGATCCATGAACTTGACAAGAGGTATAAATTTAAGAAAAATTGCTGAAAAAATGAACGGGTGCTCAGGTGCTGATGTTAAAGGTGTCTGTACTGAGGCCGGTATGTATGCATTGAGAGAAAGAAGAATTCACATAACCCAAGAAGATTTCGAGTTGGCTGTTGCCAAGGTTATGTCTAAGAATGATGAGGGTGCTGTTTCTTTAGCTAAGTTATTTAAATAGATGTATCTATTCAGTTATAAATAAAGAAATATCGTTAATATTCTTTGTAATGGCAAATGCTCGTAAAATTCTAAACCTCATTTTGATAACACGAAAGCGAAAACCGATTTTTTTTAACAGATATCAAATCAACCATCTTGCAACCAATTGTATAAATACAAAATTACCGATTTCAGTATTCAGAAAGCTTGGTAGGGATGCATCATTGCACTTTATTTCTTATTCAGATCCTATATTGTATCAGTTTTGCTGTTTGTTCAAATGATAGTAATAAATTGGTTGAGCGAATACAGTTCACCCATTCATTATTTTCCGGTGAAGGACCTACGAATAATGTATTAGAACAGTATAATTCGATGGTCAGGGACTTAGAAAGCCAGTTAACTATTGATCCATCAAATTTAAAGGATCATTTACCTCAACTTTATTTTAGAAAGGCTTTAATTGAAATCAATTTACATAAAGAAAATTTGGCAATCCAAGATCTTAAAAAATGCTTGGATTTAGACCCCGTTTTGAAGCCTGCAAGAACCAAGTTGATTGAAATACTATTGGAGAAAGGTGATTTCAGCACCTTGATGGGATATTTGACGAAAGAAGACCAAGAAGTTAGCAAAAAGATCGAGTTGGTTAAACAAGCGTTTACTAACGCCGAAAAAGCTTACAACAAAAAAGATTTTGCTCAATGTGTTCTGGAATTGGAAAATACAGTCATACCTATCACACCCTCTAATCCTAATGCATATCAACTTCACTTAAAGTGTATGGGTGAGATTTACAGTAAGCTTGACGTGACGGAGAATCAGCAACTGCCATCCAAACTGATTATCAGCGATTTGAATAAATTAATAAGCCTTCAGCCAATGAGTACATTACAATGGTACGAATCTATGGCCAACTACTTGTTATTCACCGAAGTCCAATTTGAAAAATCGTGGTTATTTGTTAAGAATTGTTTAAAGATTGATAACGATTTCAAAGGCTGCGGACAGATTTCCAAATTCTACGTTAAATTTCAAAAGTTTTTGGCTACATTAGAGATGTATTCTATTAATAACGGTCATTACTACTTAGTAAATGATAATAATATCCAGAACCAAAATGTTAATGAAGATTTGAATAAGGATATTGATTTCAAATTTGTGGCTGATTTTCTTCTCAATGACGAAGTCAAAGTTTCGAAGCTTGAAAAGAAGAAACTTTCTTCTAGCATTAAGAACAACTATGGTTATTTATTGTCTAGAGCATCTGCATTCGTGCAAACTGAATTAGGGAATGATAAGATACTCAATACTTTGAGCTTTAAAATGGATTTGGATAGAATTTTATGTGAATCATTTATTCAACTAAATGACTTCAAGAAAGCTGCAGCATACTGCTCTAATATTGAAGATAGCGAAAGCCCATTTTTGCCCAAGTATGTGCCTGAAATTGACCAGCTATTAGCGAAAAAGAAGTACGAAGAGGCCAAACGTCTATTGGAACGGTTTAATGTTAACGTCAGACGCTCAAAATTATTTAGTGAACGTTATGAAGTAATAGAGAGATATATCAACCAACAGCGTCAACAACAACAACAAAGGCAAAGACAGCAACAGCAACAACAACAACAACAGAGACAATGGCAACAAAGGCAACAACAACAGCGTCATAGAGCTCCCCCAAATAGTAAACCATCTACTGACTACTACAAAATCCTCGATATTTCTCGGGATGCAGATGAAAAAACCATCAAAAAAGCATACAGAACTCAAACATTAAAATACCACCCTGATAAGTACAAGGGTAATGACTTGACGCCAGATCAGATAGAAAATAAAATGCAAGATATCAACCAGGCTTATGAAGTCTTGGCTGATAAAGAGTTGCGGGAACGCTACGATAGAGGTGATGATCCTAATGATCCATTGGGTGGTCAGAGACAACAACAGCAGCCATTTGGAGGTTCTCGTCCTTTCAGTGGAGGAGGTGGACAACAATTCCAATTCAATTTTGGTGAAAACGATTTCATGAGGCAATTTATGAAACAGAAAGGTGGTTCGGGTGGTTCAAGTGGCTTCGGTGGTTTTGGTTTCGGTGGTTTTGGCGGTCAAAAGCAACGTACCTATGTAAAAAAGAATGCAAAGAAGAGTAAATAGATTAGAATTAATTATATAGAAGTTTGTATGATTTAGTGTGGGCTTTATTGCCCGTAATATAATGGAAATTTTGTTATCAAGCACTTTCCTAACTGAGGCTCCGAGCCAGGAAGCCGCAGATAGTTCTTGAGAAGCCATTATAAATACAGCACGCAGGCCTACTTTTTATATATTCTACTCTACCCAACAGTAAACATGAAGTTATCCTTGACTACATCGTTAGCATTGATAACAGCCATCAATGCATTGCCATTGACCAACATTTTCCCGCAATCGATCTTGAACTTACCGATTTTTAATTCAATTGATGAAGAGCATTCCAACTTGGAATATTTATCTCAATTAGAAGGAATTGTCTCGGATATTAATGAAGAAACCCTAGACGAAGGCAAATATAAGGATTTACCGCTTATCGAAACTGAAAAGTTGCAAGAGTTGATTAGTGAAAAAGGTTTAAGGGACAGAGCAGAAAAATTGTACAATATTTCTCTCAATTCCGTCTCTGAATACGGTAACCCAACCAGAGTGATTGGTTCTCCAGGTCACTGGGGTACAATTCATTACATTTTGAATGAATTGAAGAAATTAAAAGGGTATTATAAGGTTAGTACTCAAAAGTTTGATGCAATTGATGGTAAGGTCAATTCTTTCTCATTATTAATCGATGGAGTCGAGCCAAAATCATTGGAGCCATTGAGTTTAACTCCGCCAACACCAGACAAGAAGCCTGTTCATGGTAATTTAGTTTTGGTCGAAGATTTTGGTTGTTCATTAGAAAACTTCCCAAAGTTCACAAAAGATAACATTGCCTTAATCAAAAGAGGTAATTGTGCGTTTGGTGATAAGTCTATCAACGCGGGATTGTCTGGTGCTTTGGGGGCTATTATCTATGACTCTGATGGTCCATTGCATGGTACCTTAGGTACTCCAACCGGTGATGAAGTTGCTACCGTTTCTATTTCCGAAAAAGATGCTAAGGAATACATTGATGTTTTGCTTAAGGACCCTACACATGTCTTTGAAACAACTTTATATGTCGATTCATATGTTAAAAACATTACTACCTTAAATGTTATTGCAGAAAGTACCCATGGTGATCACGATAATGTTGTTTCCTTAGGAGCTCACTCAGACTCAGTTTCTGCAGGCCCAGGAATCAACGACGATGGTTCCGGCTCCATTTCTTTATTAGAGGTTGCAAAACACTTATCTAACTTCAAAATTAACAATGGTGTCACTTTTGCATGGTGGGCAGCCGAAGAAGAAGGCTTATTGGGTTCTTACCACTATGCCAACACCTTGACTGCTGAGCAAAACTCCAAAATTAGATTATTCATGGATTACGATATGATGGCATCTCCTAATTACGAATACCAAGTCTACGATGCCAACAACGAAGACCATCCTAACGGATCTGGTGACTTGAAAGACTTATACATCGACTGGTACACTAATCATGGATTAAACCATACCTTAGTTCCTTTCGATGGTAGATCTGATTACGTTGGATTCATTGACAATGGTATCCCAGCCGGTGGTATCGCCACCGGAGCTGAGGGAGTGAAAACCCCTGAAGGTAAAGATAAGTTTGGTGGTGAAATCGGCAAATGGTTCGATCCATGTTACCATCAATTATGTGATGATTTAAGTAACCCCGACTACGAAGCTTGGGTTATCAACACTAAATTGATCGCTCATTCTGTAGCAGTCTACGCTGATTCATTCAAGGGATTCCCAGAAAGAGAAGTCACTGTTACTACAAAGTCTAACGACTTTAAATACCGTGGTTCCAAACTTATCATTTAGTTAGTATTTAGATATTGCAGGATCTCTTGATGTGGGGTCTTCTTTTTGTAGTCTGAACTTAATATCCCCCAACTACGGACTTAGAAGACAGAGGTGTCCTGTGGGGGTCGTGGGGGAGTTTGATACCTCGAATATATTTTTATAAAATATGATCATATCACGTGTATGTGTAATAAACATAGTCGGATTTGTCTCGGGATGTTGATCCCCCACTCCCCACTATCTTTCGATTAGATAAAATTCTTGTATAAAAGAAATGAATATATCAGACTTTTATCCCTATGTTTTTCAGCAGGATAAGGAATATTACTAGAACTAAGTCATTAAATATCGCTAGAATGACTACCACAATTATAAAGCCAAAAGTCTTAAGAATAGGTGAAATCGATTTTGCTCACCAAAAGTGGAAGGAGTTAGCTGAAGTGGTTGAAGTGGTTAAATGTGAATCATCAAATAGAGAGGAATTTTTCAAAGATTTAAAAACCAAATATCTGGATATAACCAACATCACTAGATCATTTGCTAGTATTGAACAAACGGGTAGATTTGATGAAGAGTTGGTGAGCCACTTGCCAGAAAGCGTTAAGGCCGTCAGCCACTGTGGAGCAGGGTACGACCAAATAGATGTCGAACCACTTTCCAATAGAAAGATACAATTATCCAATGTCACTACTCCAGTCGAAGCACCAACTGCCGATGTAGCTGTATTCTTAATTTTGTCTACTTTAAGAAACTTTCAGATCGGACATGATTTAACAGTTCAAGGAAAGTGGCCAAAGGGAGGAAAATGCGCTGGTGCAGCATTAGGACACGAACCTCTGAGCCAAACGGTTGGTATTTTCGGTATGGGTGGTATCGGGAGAGCTATTAGAGACAGATTAACACCATTTGGCTTCAAGAAAATTATCTACCATAATCGTAGCCAGTTATCCCCGGAATTAGAAGGAGATGCTGAATACGTTTCTTTCGATCAATTGTTAAGTGAAAGTGATGTTATTTGCGTGAGTATTCCATTAAACGGAAAGACTAAGCATTCGATTAATAGCGAGACCATCAGCAAAATGAAAGATAAAGTAGTTATCGTCAACACTGCTAGAGGAGCCATTATCAATGAAGCCCAATTACTCGAAAACTTGAAATCGGGCAAAGTTGGTGCCTTTGGTTCCGACGTGTTCGAATTTGAACCAGAAGTCTCTCAAGAATTGCTTGATTTACCTAATGTAGTCAGTCTTCCACACATGGGTACTCATACATATGAGTCCATTCAAAATATGGAAGAATTTGTTGTCGATAATGTTTTCAGCCATTTGTATTCTGGTAAAGTCAAGACTATCGTTCCAGAACAATACAACTTACAATTCGACGAAACCCCGTTGCTCGCAAAATAATCAACTTATCTCTCAATTATGACTAATCTACATATTATATAAAATAAATATAGACGAATCATTACGGTGACATTATGACTACTTCAAATTAATTTTTGCAATTCTCCGGTATCGGTTTTGCGATTATCACTGAACCCCGAGCCGAAATTAGCATATTTGAAACTACTACAATTCATTAAATGCTTCAATTCGAAAGTGTGCATAGCTATATGTCTATACTCTAGGATACATGTTGAATACCACATATATTCGTACAAGAAGATATCTTTTCCCAGGAGAGTAAGTAAGCCTAGCGGCAGGAACCTTGTGAAATTTTTCACCAGAATTTTTTTCTCATTTTTCGAATTCGCACGATGTACCGAGCTCTAATGATGATTCTGATAATCCAGAAGACTTCTTCCCGTAGAAATAGTAAATTTTTAACGGTTGATATATCTTAGTATATATATAAAAGTGGCATCTATTAATTGGTTCCAATAATTTATATTTATTAATTGAGAAATTGCTTCTTGTCTTGGGTATACTGGAAGATTTTCATCAACACTTGAATTTTTCACAAGGTTACACTTTGATCGAAACTAGGACTTAAAAGAAAATAATAAGAAAAATGGAACGTAATTTACCAATAATACCAGGACCAGACTCTATTGAAATAGAGTACGAAGCTTTGCCAGATGGTGCTTCATTAGCGGCACATTTAGGGGCTGGTGCATTTGCTGGTATCATGGAACACACCGTCATGTTCCCTATTGACTCGTTGAAGACTAGAATGCAAATGGCATCCAATACTCAAGAGTTGAGTAAGAGTGTCATAACTTCGATTTCAAAGATAGCTTCGTCAGAAGGGATTTATTCTCTCTGGAGGGGTGTCTCATCGGTCGTTTTGGGAGCAGGACCTGCTCATGCCATTTATTTCTCCGTTTTCGAAGCTACTAAGACATTATTGGTAAATAGATTAACCAATTCGCCACATTCACATAAGATTGTCACAGATGATAACCATCCGTTGATTGCGAGTGGTGCTGGAACTGCAGCTACCACCGCATCCGATGCGTTAATGACCCCATTCGATGTCTTGAAGCAAAGAATGCAGGCATCTAGTCAATTTAGACAAGCAGAAAGTACATCAGTTAAGCTATTGCAGGTTGCATCCGAGATATATAAAAAGGAAGGATTTTCTGCGTTCTACATTTCATATCCAACTACGCTTTTCACTAACATACCATTTGCAGCCTTAAATTTTGGATTTTACGAATATTCATCATCCTTATTGAACCCAAATAATGTATACAACCCATACTTGCACTGTGTTTCTGGTGGTATCGCCGGTGGGATTGCAGCCGCCATCACCAATCCTTTGGACTGTATCAAAACAGCATTACAAACTAAAGGTATCTCCAAAAACGAAAATATGAAGCACGTCACTGGATTTAAAACTGCGACCAGAGCTTTGTTTAAAGAAAGTGGAATGAGTGCATTCACGAGAGGTTTGAAACCAAGAATCATTTTCAACGTTCCAAGTACTGCAATTTCTTGGACCGCCTACGAAATGGCTAAAGAACTCTTGTTGAAAAACTAATTCTGTATATTAACTATTTATCCATTGACTCCACATGACGCTAGTCTAATCATTTCTAGACACATAATGAATCACTATCTCGCTCCATTTTGGTTTCATTAATGAATACAAACTTATATATATGTTATACTTATTTTTCTCTCGCAAACCTTATTCCCTTACGTACTTGTATATATGTATATGTTAAATCAACTTTTTGGTCAGATTGGTACCTTAAAAACTTCTGTAGCGATTAATTCTGAATCGCCCTCATCAACTCACTTAACTCTCTAGGTTGACGAGATAACTTCTGGGCCACGAATGAAAATATAACACAAGACCCAAGGAATCCCAATAAATTGAAAAATGCCTTTCTTGAGTACGCCTTCTCCTCCTCTTCTGTCCTAAACGATGCAAATATTCGCCTTATACTCGCAATAATCATATTTAGTTACAGTATGTATTATATGAGATTCTTTTTGTATCAATGTATTTTTTATCAAGTCTGCTTTGTTTTTGTCGGACTCGAACACGCGATCACCTTTATCAACAAAAAAAATTCTATGGATCTCTTATCCTACTAGTGAGAACAATACAACCTATTCCTAACAAAAAAGATAACCTTACTCACAACGATGATCGGTATCGGGTGCTTAATTTGAATAAATCAAGTTCGCATATTGCACTCAATAGCCTTTTCTCATAATAAAAGACCAACCATCCGCAATGCCTCCCATGCAGAATAAATTCTGCTGATTTCTGATGGCATTGCCCGGCGTTTTCACGCCAAGGACACTCTCAAGAGTATTAATTTAGGGACAAAGTCCCCTAGGATGGGGAGAACCACCGAATTTCCCACCCGCTAATTTAATGAGCGCCCCCTAGAGGACCTCTGTTTGTAGGCGGGTAAACGCGAAACGTTACGAGAAAGGTTGGAACCGTTATGCCATGGGCACAGTTCTGAGAATTATTTTCTGCGATTGGTTTATAATCTTATGATTAATCTAATCGTCTCAGAGTTGCAGCTATAGCATGTGGAATATAAATAACCTTAAGATATAGTGTATGCATATATGCACATGCTGCTGTCAATATAAGGTAATGGGCTTTGAGAAGAATAGGCATGTGCTATTGGCGTAAGACAGCATTTAACAAAGATCACTTACTTACAAGTTCTGATTGAAATGTTACTGTGTTATATTCTACAATACTTTGCAATTGGTTACACATCAGCAAATACGAAGAACAATTTTCTTTTGTCATTCAATAACTATTTCTGTCATTGCTAGGAGTTGCAAAGGAATAAAAAAATTAGTCTGCTAGCGAAGCTTGGTTCGGCATATTATTCATGAGACTGCAACCTCTTTTACCACCGTTATATCAAGGTAAGAATAATTTGTGGGACTTCGGAACATTTGATATGCTTGTTATTGCATATGCTAAGACAGAAGAGACTCGTTTAGATGCAAGAGATTTCACAGGACTTTGTAAAGTATTCACATGCCGCTGAAGAAAGAATCCTCGACTCGCGAAACCGTTTAAAAACAAAAGTATTCCGCTGAAGAATATTAATGTACAATATACTGCGATACGACACAGATGTTTGACAATCTTACACCTCCGGCGAAACATGCTAGACATGGTTTTATTGGTCGTTACTTTTATGTTGCTATTTCAGCCGTCTTAGGGTTCGGATTTGTTACTGTCTTGCTTATCCTGGCAATTATTTACTATTGGTATCATGTAATTATCGGGAAAGAAAAGTTTCTGAAAAAAGCCGATGAAACGGTTACTTATCCAGATATCAAGAGTATGAAACGTACATCGGATTTGAGGTACTATGCATTGGCAATGAAATTGGACTTGCAGGAATACAGAATTACGACTGAAGATGGGTACATTTTAACATTACACCGTTTAATCGACCCTAACGAAACAGACCTAGAGAGACAGAACCGGAAGCCAGTTTTATTGCAGCATGGGTTACTTTCATGTTCTGGATCTTACGTCACTTCTGGTTTTCATTCATTAGCATATCACATTTTGACTTCCGGATATGATGTTTGGTTAGGTAATAATAGATCGTGGTTTGAAGCTAAGCATGCGTTCTATGAAGGTGATTTAATGCACAGCGAAGAATACTGGGATTGGGATATAAGAGAGTTAGCATATTATGATTTGCCTTGTATTATTGACAATGTTTTGGCTCATAAACCTCAACACCAGAAATTAGCAATTGTTGGACATTCACAAGGATGTACGCAAACATTCTTGATGTTGAAAAACGGTAATTTAGCGAATTATCATAATAAGGTTGAAGTGTTTTTCCAGTTGGCTCCAGCTATTTTTCCAGGTCCATTATTCCACAAAAGAGCGTTCATAAAATTTATGCATCATAGAAGTAAATTGGGCTATAAATTGTTTTTTGGATGTTGCTCTTTCTTGAGAGTTTTGACTATTACTCGTAATCAGTTATGTACTACAAGATTTTTCGGATCAGTGTCGTATGTTATGTTCAAGTTCTTATTTGGTTGGAGCGGAGGCTTATGGAACTCAAATAATAAGCTTCGTCATTTTCACTTTATCTTCAACGTCTCTCGTGTTTCTTCTAAATTGATGTCTTGGTGGCTAAGCGAATGGGTTCAAGAAGGTTTCTCAAATCAATTACAATCTAAAGAGTCGTATAAATCTGGTGAAAATTTTAGCTTCACTCCCGTCAATTCAACCAATGAAGTACGTGGCAAACAAGCCGAAGAAAATGACTCAAAGACGTACTTTCCGTATAAAGAACAGTGGTTTGGATTAGAGGAAAAAAGTATCATTGTACCTATGGTAATCTTCCCTGGCCTTGAAGATTATTTGGTCGATGGTAAAAGATTAGCCACACATATGAGACACTATGAGCGTAACGTTTACAAAGAAGGCCATAATTTAGATATTCACGAGTTACCAGCATACGACCACTTGGATGTTATATGGGCAGATAATGTTAATGATGTGATTGGTATTAAAATTACAGAAAAATTGAACCAAATTGGAAATACTTCCAAAAGTACATCAGAAGATGAAGCGGCTATTCACAATGAAACTGAAGCTCTCAAGGAATCCGATTCAGTTGGGACTCAAGCTTCTGTTTTACCTTCTTCTTCTCCACTTCAGGCAGGACCATCTGGTCAGTAGAATTTTCATAAATATAGAAAAGCCATGATGATCGGTGAAAATGTATATTAATTTTTAGTTACATACTTTTGTATTTTTCAAAGGATAATTAAGACCTCGAAATTTGGTTGTAGTTTTTTACGTGATTTTCGGCATTGTCAAGTGCTTCTAAGACATAGCTCCAGAACAATTCCACATTAACATCCAAACCTACGTAAACACCATTTTCTTCTTCCTTCAGCTCATCAAGATCTCCATTAGCAATTTGGGTCTCTCCTTCACGTTCGCCCTCCTGTATTACCTTCAACTTCCGCCTGATATATTTGAAATCAACGTTATCAACCAAATCATCTTCCTTATTTA